AGCTGCAAAAAACAGGGTCAGGATGGTTCGAATTTGGATTTGAATTTGAATTCGAACGGAGCCGAAGGGCCATTTGGAAAAAATTAATCAGTTAAACGGTGGGGTTTTGATGGCTAAGAAGCAAAAATCGTTCTATTTGACATGGAATTTTAATTTCCGTCTTAATTAAATCACGAAAATCCTCAAGTCCTTCAAATTTTAAATTTTTTGAGGCTTTTGCCAGCGCGTTTCGGACATAAAAGTCAAAGCATATGGACGGTAATGCACCATTTCTACGCCATCACGTTATTCCCACGAAAATTTGGGCTCTAAAACCCCGAGAAATTTGCACAATTTTTTATTCTACAAAATATGTTTAAACATGCCATGTTTACCTAGACACCCCATTCAAAATAATTTGCCAAGGACCCGCGCGTGTCCTTAGGGCCCTCACCTGGGCGGCCCCCATCAAAGCACCCAACAATTAGCCGCGAAAATATGTCGGACCAGGCCCGCTCGATTGGTGTTGCGCAAAACAGTTACGGTCCACTCCAAATGACGGCTGGGGGGGGCGCTCATCTCGACAAATATCTGTACCAGCTTAAGCTTGCGCCACCCTCCCGCCGGCCGAAACGCTTGTAAAGCGGGGCGCGGGGGATTTTGCGCAATTTAATCTACCCGGGCCAAGGGGAGCGCATCCTATACTGTAATTTTGTTTGCTTGGGGCTGGATTGTCGGAAATTGCCTAAAGGCGGCGAGAGGTGGCGCAATTTGGTGCCAAATGCATACGGATATGGAGGAATTGGCCCTGAAAAAGCCTCGATTTTTATGGGGAAAATGTGTTACATCTTTTTACAAATTCAAATGCAAAATTTGAGGTGAAATTTGCTTTCCCGATATCATAGAAATATTTGTTTTTAAAGCTTTTTAATCAAATTTACACGCTAAAGCGGTAAATTTAAAGCTCTAGCTTACTTCTAATTTGATTGAAAGAGCATGCGGTTTCGAAAATGGACAAAAAATTCTTCTTGCCTTCTTTCGGATTCTTGCCTTGCCTACGCCTTTAAAATATTTTTTTTACGACATTTTTCTATAGCTCCCCCTTTTTCTCGATCTCTGCCTCTCTCTCTCTCACTCTCTCTCGCTCCCTTTCTCACTCCTTCTGTCTCGTTCTCTGTCTCGCTCCCTCTATCGCTCCCTCTCTCTCGCTCTCTCACTCTCTCTTTCTTTCTCTGGCTCTCTCTCTTTCTCTCCCGATTAAATGAAGTTCCCTGACCCCAAGCCGGTAAGTCAATCCCGGTACTAATTTCCATCCCAAACCTGCTCCACAAGTGCCCCCTTCAGGAGCAGATGGGCCTAGAGTTTGTAAGCTGATCCGCTCAGGTGAACTGTTGCATGATCCCCTTCAACCCAGAGGCACGGAAAAACAGGTAGTGCAAACAGTACGCCAACGGACAGATGGCAGGCCTGACCGGACGGTAAGGACAAATGGGACGATTTGCGTTGTTGCTTGGAGCAACAGGATTTTGTATTTTAATGGCCTGTTCGAAATATACTGATTTCAGCCGTTTCCGGATGCGAAATTCCGGATTCGTTTTGAATACGGAGAGGAAAAGCGGATGAAGGTAGGAGGATAGGCCCGGAAAAAACTTGTTATAGCGCTGAGTTTGAAAAATACTACGCTTTCTGTCCAAGTCCGGATTTGGATGCTTTGATGCCGTAATTTAGAGATCCGGAAACAGCGTGCCCAGAGAAAATTCCGGATGGATTTCGTATCCGGACGGTCGCAGTTCCTGACCCAACGAAAACCCTATGTGTAAAAATCTAAATTTTAAAATTTTGATTGTTCGAGCTTTTAATTTTAATTTTAACCTGCCCAAATTTGTCTTGAAATTCCGGAAGACTGACCCGGTAAATGCTAAACCCAGCAAAAAATTACGGTTAAAATTGGCTCTCCGCGCAAAAATGTAAGGAAACGGAAATCCGGTAGTGATTTCATTCCGGGATGGACTGTTCCGGTCGAAACCCTGCCGTAGCAGTCGCTTTTTTTTTTACTTTCTTCCGGCAGTCATGCTATTTAAAGTTCCCAGCCCCGGCTCGTGCTCAAACAACACACCAGATGGTGCACCAGCACCTTGAGATGCGCGTGTTTGTGGATGTAGGTAAACTGTGTGGGCACGCGTGCTGTTCCGGCAGGGGAGCGGCAAACTTCCAAAGGAGCCCCAATTAACGTTGACAAATGGAGGGAAGGATTCGACGAAGTTTGCCTGACCTGAAAGTTGGTCTTACGGAACTGAAAATAGGTTAAAGTCGAAGAGAGAACGACGTGGGAGCGAGAGAGAAAAGAGAAAGCAAGAGAGATGTAGCGAGATAGACAGAGAGAGGGGGAGAGGGGGGGAGGGAGATAGAGAGAGAGAGGGAGAGAGAGGGAGAGAGAGAGAGGGAGAGAGCCGAAAATCTAAACCTAACTCGATGCATCGAATTCCAAAATCTGACCTTCCCACACTCGTCAATTTTCGAAACAATCGAGGAGTACGCCCTTGAAATTTCGATTCCAACACCCTGAAAAAGACCCTGCCTTCTTGCCCGGTACAACTTCAATTTCCGGACAAATTAGGACTACAGTAACCCGAAAATCGGAGCCTCTCGGAATTCGCTTCTAGCGGCAACAGAAAAAGGAGGGCATATTTCTTAGGTGGAAACACTGGCTTTGGCTGCACTGTCAGGACTGGAAATTTATGACCTCCGGATCGCAACACTGTGAAACGGCACGTGGCAACAGTTGTGCCCCGGAATTTCCTTTCAATTTGAATGTTCTGGCTCCGAAACAAATGCTTTCGTAATTAGCAAAAACTGGAAAAATGAAAACAGTTTCATTTCGGGCTCAAGGAGAATATTCCAAAATTAAAATTCGGTTCAGGTGGCCCAGAAAAATTCAAATCCCAGGTAGCAGCTTCGAGCTGGCTTTTATGCAAATCACCTGCCCTTGCTCCCCCTGATAAGGATTTCAAATCGGCCGTTCTCACCCCGTTTTTCGCACGCTAAATCATCGAATACCGTATACCTCCACTTGCCTACCACCACTCAAGAAGCAATCATTCAAATTAGTTCTCCCACATGCGTGGGGAGCAGTAAAACGTGAAGGGGCTGGGGTGCTCGAATAAATTAGTGGTGCACCCCGAGAGGGCAGTTGCTGTGTTTTTAGAGCATTTTTTTAGGGTTCCACTTCCTTCCCGTAGGCGCTTCTCCCATGATCACTCATCCTCCGAATATTTTTTGCATCCCGGCGCGCCAATTGCTGTGCGGGTGGTCTTCCGGAAGGTTATTTGAATTTGAAAAGGTGGAAAAGAATTATTTATAGGAGAGAGAGAGAGAGAGAGAGAGAGAGAAGAGAGAGAGAAGAGAGAGAGAGCGTGAGTGAGAGAGAGCGAAATCATGAGGGTGAGAGCGAGAGGATAGAGTGCGAGGGTGAGAGAGAGTTAGAGCGAGTGAGAGAGAGTGAAAGAGTGATTATGAAAAAAAAAGAGAGAGAGAGAGAGAGAGAGAGAGAGCGCGCGCGAGGGTCGGTGAGAAAGATAGCCGCAGATCACACGTTTTTCAAAAAACACACACGCCCCGTATCGAAAAGTCGCGACGCGGATTAGCCGAGCTTTCCATAAAATTTGAATTTTAGCAGCGAAAAAAGATATTTTTCGTAAAATCTGACATGTCGACAGTCGATTCCGCTCCATTCTGCATCTATTGACTTGATATTACAATGCGAGAGATTTATCAAGAGAGAGAGATGGAAAAGCATGGCTTTTAAGTTAATAGTTTTTAGCACCCATTCCTTTTCTGACCCCTAGCGCGTAAATTGATTTTACGACCTCTGAGTTGTGATACCCGTCGCTCCGGGTAGAGGCCAGGCTGATAGTGATGAGCTGTCAGACAGTGGTCGCTTTCAAATCGCCTCCGGGTATTTGCATCCGGACTGAATGAGGAGAGGACGTGACTTTACTCGAACAGTGTTGAGAAAAAAATTGCAGAAGAGGGTGCGATCCTCTGGGAGGCACTCTCAAAAACCTGACCACAACCTCAGCACCTTCAAAGATACTAAGTGATTTGCAAAAATTAACGTGAAGCAACCCGGAAATCTCCGAGGTTTTTTATGTAACCTTCCGAATAATCCTGAGCTGTTGCTCGTTTGGCCGCTTGTCCTCCATTACAAGCCTCTTACGCTTAACATCGAAACCCTCATGTAAGCCTTAAATTATGCATTTGGCGCTCAAGAGAAGCAGCTTGAGCAAGGGCTTCCAGAAAAATCGAGGAGCTTACCGAACCAGAATTCAAAGTGAAAAACGAAACTGTGATATGCCCCAAGCGTCCCAAGAAGTTTTTGATTAATATTCTTGTTTATTAATACGCAAGGCGCCGTTTTTGCTTTTCGAGCTCTTGCTCAAATTTTTCCGTCCACCTGCAGAGCTCATGCTCATCTCGCAAGTCCTGTGGAGCTATAATTTTTCAAACAAAGATATCAAATGCTGTTGCAGCTGAACGCATCAACATTCTTGTGTTTTCATACGGAAAGCCGGCGTTGTTATTCTAGCTCTTGCTCAAATCGCATAGGTTCTTGGCTACATCTTAGCTTTCTCAGGGCTCTTAACGGGAACTGTAAGCCCGGATTTTTTTCTAGTTTTGAAGAGAAATACGTTTAAAACCACTAGAGATTCTTACTTCTAGTCCTTAGTCTCTTTCTCCTCGCTTACCATCCCTTTAGTGATATCCCTTGTCCACCTCCACCGGCCCGGATGGGGTGTGCCCCGGGGCGCCACCCCAGGCTCCGCCCCCCTTTGCCGTCAAGGGGTGTGTCCGTAGCAGATAGTGAGTGAGTGAGGGCCCCGCCACACCAGACCAGACCGCACCTTTCCACCAAGGTTCTCTGCTACCACCCCCCGATCCGGACCGGCTATTTTGTTAGTCGACGTTCTTTGAATCTATTCAAATTTCTAAAAAGCCTATTGATTTTCTAAATACTCTAAAAAATGGCTCCGGACGCCCAGCAGCCCGGCCCTTGCATTGCCATCACCTTCCTGGGGCCACAGCCGAAGAATGGCAGGCGGTGAGTTGGATTTTGTAGCTGTATTTTTGCATTTTATTGTTCTACAGTATTCCTTATTTTTCTTACTGTAGCTTCCACCTTAATTTTTGTGGCGCGTGAAGATTTTAAAGATGATTTTCTAGCAGTAGCACGTACAATTCGTTTAATTGTTTCTAAATTCTAAATTGCTTATTTTGAAGAGAGTACGTTACAGTACTAACTACAGTACGTTTTTTATCTTTTAGGCATTCTACTACTACGTTTTTTAACTTTTTTTTGGTGACCTTTTTGGGGGCCTACCCCCCGCGGGGAACGCTAGCTGTCACCTAAAATTAGTCAGGTAGCAAGTAGGTTTGCTCTTTCTCGCTCTCTCTCCCTTTCTCTCGCCCTCTCTCTCTCTGTCTCTCTCGCTCTCTGGCTCTTTGCCAAATATGTTTCCACATATCTCTAACTCTATTTTTCTCTCGTTTACGCACTCACTCTCTAAAACGCACTCTCTCTCTCTGTCTCTCGCTCCTCGTCGAGCTTTCTGCGCTAGATAAAATTCGGAATTATGCAAATTACGCAACATATTTGGCTTGTTGGATGAATAGAAATTAATTATATTTTTCCGATACTTTCCAACGCATTCCATTAGCTACGAATCGATCCTATCCCCGCCTTTCGTCCTAATTACCATCCCCTGCCATGCCTACCAAAAAGTTCGGCTCAATTAGCATCCCACCCACCGGCTGGCTAGGGTAATTTTTCAAAAACTCAGCCGATCCCCGTGCCAACGGTGCCAAAATAGGGCAATAGCGGTGCTCACACCCCCAAAAAATGTTTTGCCCTCAATCTCAATCCGTCTCGATTCCCGGATTTATCGCTCAGAGAAATCAGCCGGGGTGGCAGGGGGTACCAGTCGCCCCCCTAAAATGTGCCCCAGAACCTCAATCCATTTTTCTCAACTTGCCTCAATCGAAAAACTCTAGGCTGGGGATCAAAAAAGGGGGTGGTTGAGGCAAGTTTCTCACGCGGCGGGAGAAAGAGAGAGAGAGAGAGAGAGAGAGAGAGAGAGATAGAGAGAGAGAGAGAGAGATAGAGAGAGAGGGAGAGAGGGAGAGAGAGAAACGCCCGGCTGCAGATTGCAATCTTTTTTGCCCTGCCCGTAAAAACGACACGCACTGTCCACCGTGCCCTACCTGTAGGACACAGTGTCTTGCCTGAAAAGCGCACACCCGGGTGTGATTTAGTGCCAAGCCGAAAAACAGTCCGGAATTTGAAACACAACAGGGTGGTCCTGAGCGGAATTTAAGGGGTACACTAGCCGGAGAATTACTGTACTTATCGAAATATGGAAATTGTGAAAATTACCGTACTCTAAACTCCAATATAGAGATCAAAAACTGAAAATTCTAGAATCTTCGTGGTTAATAAAATTCTGTAAGTATCGAAAATTCTGATTTTCCAGGATTACCGTACTCCAAAAAGTACTGGAGGTATCGAAAATTCGAAAATATGCCAATTACCGTATACTCAAAGTTCTTACTGTAAGCTTCGAAATTTTGTATTTTTCCGGAAAACAACCGTAGTCGTTTCGGGTATTCAAATCGCGGATTAAAGTGACTAAATGCTAGCAAAAAAACTGGGCAGATCTTACAGTACCTTTTTATTCACTTTCTGAGTTTTTTATCCTTTTCGATTGAATTATGCAATTTTATACTAATTCTCCCTATTCCGCAACACACCTCCGTACGCTCAAAATTAATGCCCTCCCCAGGGCATAATCCATGTTTATTTACCCGGGTGTGGCGGGAGGCAGGAAGTTGGTGCCCACCCAGAACTGCCAACAGCCAGCTGAGCAAATGTATGGGGGTATCCAAACTAACCTGAGATCTCTAGAGTTAACGTTAAGAGTATCTAAGCGTAACCAGCTAAAAAATATCAAAACTGAGATAACTTGGCTTTTTTCAGGGTCTTCGAGAGCTTCCTCGAGGCCAACAAGTCGTGCTTCTGGAACCGAGACTTGGTAGCTGCCATGGACTCGATGATCTACATGGGATTTATGCGGCCAGGTAAAACTTAATCGCTCTAGGATTTAACATCCAAATTAGGCATCAAGAAAAGAAAATCCAATCTTTTACTGAGATTTACCACTTTTCCACGTAATCCTGCTAATTTTTTAACAAAAATCCGGGTTTGGCGACCCTAAAATTCGCTCTAAATGGCTCTATAATTAAGCTGTTATGCAAATTAATTAATTTGAATATAGAATTTAGCTTTTTCACTTCACAAACCCCTTAAAAGCCGTCTAAAAATTCAAACAATCGTTTCGGATCCTCCTGAAAACCATAAAATGCCTTTTCCGCTCTCTCTCTCTCTCTTTCTCTCTCTCTCTCTCTCTCTTTCACTCTCTCGCTAGGCATGGCTGACCAAGACGAAATTTGATTGGGGGTGGCAGCTGCTGTGGCTACCATCATGGTGGTGCGAGTGTTTTTCTGATTCTACAGCCTCGTGCTCCCCCCTTGGATGAGCCATACGTTTCCCATTTTTCTTCTGTCTGCCTCTTCCGGGACCCGCGCCAATTTCCCCCATTTCGTGGTCACTTTTTAGGGCGCTTTTTAGGGGGCCAGTCTAGGCAGGGGCCAGCCGGCATCAGGAAATCCGAAAAAAGCCAATGTTCGACGATTTTTTGAAGGATTTGAGAAGCCAAAATCAAGTCAATTATGCAAATTTTTAGAAGTTGCTGGCTAAAACTAAACATATTCATCGTAATGTTTGTAATATATTCCAAAAATTTGTAGCTTGTTTTTGGCTTCCCAACACCTTTAAAACCAGATGCAAATTATGCTAATTTTATCAATTCTCCTCGAAAAACCTTAGAAAATTGACGCTGACTACCAAGAAGGTTTCCAGGGGGTTAGGCACAAATTGGCAGTGTTGCTGCCCTCTCCCCATTGAATGGCAGTTTCGCGTGAGAGAGAGAGAGAGAGAGAGAGAGAGAGAGATAGAAGGAGAGGGAGAGAGATACAGAGACAGATCAAGGCCCACCGCCGCCGACACCCCTAGAGACGTTCCGTGGCGAGATCGCCATGAGGTGTGGGCAACTTGCGCAATTTGTGGGGGGCCGCCATGGTCATCATGGGGTGGTGGTGGTCGTATAGAAAATGGGAATAGCCGTATAAGTGCCTTGCGAGGCAATTGGGGCAATAGGGAACCAATTCTGGGGTTATTTATAGCGGGTATTAACATTTAAAGGGGCTGCGAAGTTGAAAAATCGTAAAACTACATGATAATAGGTTTTAGGTGTACTCGGTCTTTCATTTTAACCACTTTTTCAGGTACCCTCTTCGTCAGCGCCCCAGCCAGCCGCCTTGACACCATCAGAAGCGCGTGGGCGAGAAGAGTGCTGAAGCCGGCGCTTGGCTATCAGATCCAGTCGCTAGGTAAGGGTTCAGAACCGTGGTTTTCGAATTTTTGGCGACTTTCTGCTTAACTGTGAGTCGATTTTCAGCGCGTAGTTGGTTTAAAAACCACTGTTGTGCAAATTACATGATTTTGATCAAAATGCATGCCGATTCCTTAAAACAATGAAGGTTTATGCAGCGTTTCGAGGCCATTTTCGTACCACTGATTTTTCCAACCCTTCCGGCCGTTTGTTTCTCTGTTTGTCTGTCGTAATGTCGCACGCGTGTCCTCTCTAAAATGCCTCCTCCTTCCCTTCTTCACCTCCAAAAAATGCCAGTCTCCCAGACAAGTCACCCCGGTGGCCCGGGGTTGATTCATGCCGAGGGTGCCCCCGGGATATCAGCAGGGCACGCGCCTGTACCTCAAATTCTACCGTAGCCCCGGGGAATCGGCGTTTTTGCATATATTTGCATATGGAATATGATAAAACAGTGAAATCGGGCATTTTTGAATTTTAAGGAGCCAGGGAAGCCTTGAAATGTAAAAAAATCGACGTTTTTCATGATATTTCGTCGCTATTTTGAATACTTTTTCACCTAGAAGATTCTCAAATTTAATTATAAATTTATCCAGCATATTGATCTCCCCGAACTAATTTAAAAACTCTAGCTACCGTAGAAACGTGAGAAAGGGCAAATTTTAGCGGTTTAAAAAACCCGGAAAAGCTCCATTTTGGCGTGGAAATTTTAGTTTTGAAGCTTTTAAAGCTTTTTGAATCAGAAACCAAATTCAAAATATGCATTTTTTTATTCGGAATTGGCTTTTCATTAAGTTTTTTTTGGAATTTTAGGGTTATTTTGGCAATGAAACTTTTTCGTCCATCTTTCTCACGCATCCATCACCTTGTCGCTACCAAAATTCTCTCACTATCACTCATTCCGTCTCACTCCTGTTGACAAAAACAAAGTTTTCTACCCCCCGGGCATTGTTTCCCGACCATCCATCATTTTGTGATTATTGTCTAGTGAGGTAGACATGCTTATTTAGCCCCGGGGTATCATCCCTCTCTAGGTAGCTAGGGTCAAAAATCGAGTCAGCCACTCAATCTTGATTACCTGGCTGGCTACTGGGGGATGGTCTGAATAATGGCCCGAGGGCACCAATTCGTCTTGGTACGCCATGCTACTCGGGACATCCCACAGTCTGCAGGGGACAGATCCGATGATGGATCGGGGGCTGCCTGGGGAGCGGGGCAGTGGTTTGTGCCCACGGGGTATCAATGGTGGGGGCTGGGATTTACCTCATTGTGGGATGCAAACTAGGGAATCCCTAAAATGGAAAATTAAGCGTAAAATAAAATTATGCTAATCTTTTTAGTAGGAAAATTCTCCATTTGAATGCGCAATTTTGTAGAATTTAAATTGTTTTGCGATAAGAAAGAGCTCTAAAATTAGCATAAAAGGGCAAAATGGCAAACGTCGAAAAATGGTCAAACGTTCTAATTTTTCATCTATAAACACTGTCTTTTTCCGCGTCCCTGCATCAGCTTAAATTTGCATCTAATAAAAAATAGACTTGAAAATCCTTAATAAATTAAAAATGTTGAGCCCGAATTCAAATTCTGCGATTTTTATTACTATTTGAATTCAATTTCAATTTTTGCGAATTTTCTAGGCTATTTTATGCAAATCACCCCTCAAGAATCGATTAACCCAATGATCAGTTTGTCTGTTTTCTCACCTTTTTTGTCTTCAAAACAGGCACGCGTGCATGGTGCTCGCTAGCGATTTTTTGGCACCTCTTGGGTGCACTTCTGGTGCCCACATATGGTGGCCTCTTTGTCGTCTGCGGGTAGAGAATGCTTTTTTTTGGGTGCTGGCAAGTCAAAAAAATATACTGGCTATAAGAAAATAATAAAATAACTGCCATAATAAGTATTTGTAAAGACAAAACCATGAAAATTTTGCTAGAACTTGAATTTCAATTTTGACTTTTTTTTTGTTATTTAAACCGCTTAAAACACACCGTTTTTTGGAACATAATGGAATTTTCGATTTCTAGATACCTGGTTACGGTATTAACCCAATTAAAGGGGTCAGTGACCCTCGCCTCATTGTTGAAAAGTTGCCGGCGGCACCTGCGGCTAGCCCAACTTGCAGGTGCCCTTAATTGCCCTAAAGGTGACTATAATCCGGATCGACTACACCGGGACTTTTCGCCTCTCTCTCTGTCTCTCTCTGTCTCTCTCTCCTCTCTCTCTCTCCTTCTCTCTCTCCGGCCTCTATCTGTAAAGGTGTGAATTTCAGCCCTATTTATGGGCTTAAGCGGATCGCATTGTCTTCGCTGAAATGCCGGGGGCAAGCGATAATTGGAAACGGGTAATTTATGCAAATAGGCAGATTTTTGGGAAAGTCCTGCGCGAAAATAAATATGACTGAACAATTTTATGCAAATTACAATCAAATCCTAAAGATCGCCCGGATTTTTACTTTCTCTCACTCATTCTCTCCCGCTCTCTGTCTCCCACTCTCTCGCTCGCTCTCTCTCTCGCCCGGACCGACAAAATTACTGCCTAATGCCCAATTCCCGATCAGAAAAACATGATCACCAACTTGTTGCGTTTTACCCGAACCACCCAAATACCTGGGGCCATAAAACCTGGGAGAACCGATCGAGCGACGCGGCGAATTTATGCCCAGGTCGTGTGACACAATTCGAACAATAGGATGTGGCTCACCTAGCGGGACCGATCCCCCCCCCTTACCTTCATTGGGCCTTTAATGGATCAGTTCGGCTGTTAGCGCCCCGGGAGAGAGAGAGGGAGGAAAGAGAGCGTGTGAGATGAGCAGCACCTGGCGGCGCGGGGGCGATTAGCGTCTTGGTCTCTAATTTGGGCCCCTCATCACCGCTCTAGGACCACCAAAAAGGGATCCTGAAATCGGAGACGCGTGCCTGGGGCGCGTGTGGTGCTTGAGGACAATAATGTTTTTTTTTGGGATTGGGATGCTACCGCACTTGTTGAAGAAGTCAGGTAAAAATTTCTGAAAAAATCTGGATTGCATCATTTTACAAAATTATTCAGGCTTGCAAAAATCAAAAAATTTCATGAATTTTCTCTGCTAGGCTGACCCATAAAAAAAGCTGTTTCTCCCTCTCTCTAGCGCTATCTCTCGCTATCTCTTACTCTGTTTCTCTATCGGTCTGCCTCTCTCTCTCTCCGTTCCCTCTCTATCTCTCTCGCTCTCTCTCTCTCCCTTTAGCTTTATCAGCTCATCCTGGCTTTCTTAAGCTTCGTAGGCCAATAAGTCTACTCCCGTGTTTTCTCGTGTTGATACCCCAAAAAATCCCGCCATTGACACCTGTCCTCGAACCTTCAGTATGGGGGTGAGGTGGGTGACGCCCGCGCGCGTTGAGCTTGCGCAACCTCAGAAAAGGCAAAAAGAGAGACGGGGATCAGCCACCCATTTCCGCTAGTCCTGGCTAGTAGAAAAAACGCTGCTCTTGGGGGTCGACACCTAGGTGAGGATCCCACCGGATCCATTCTGTCGTTGCGCCAATCTTCACACCAAACATCGCCCCTGGGGAGTCAATATTTGTAGCATAGCGTAGCGTGGCCTGGGGGCATGCTGATTGGGATGTTAATGAAGGGAAAATCGAGAGGTTTTTTACCAGAAATTTCATCTAGTTTCAACAGGAATTCCGGAGGAATTAGAACAATCGAAAATTTGGCGCAAAAAGCCGAACTTTTTGCATTTTATCACCCCAATAATTTGCCCCAGTTGCATTAGGACATTCTGTTAACCTTAAAATGTAAAATACAGCGTCGAAATGATCCAAAAATGCTATTTTTGTATATTTTTTCACGCTTTGCGTATCCCGTAGCCTCTCGGAATCTTCCCTTTTTTATTTGCTGCCCTCTTGGCTCTGTACCCCCGGCTCTATACCCCCCATAATTAGACCACAAGTCATCAAGTTCGAGCCGGGCCCAGCGACTTCTTGGGCCCCTAAGCAGATGTCCATTTTGTCTCCTCGCACCACCATCCACCGATTTGTACCAGCAGCACCTGCCCCGTAGCTCGAATCGGGTGCCAAATCTCGGGAGTATAAGGAGAATCGGGGGGTGCCAAGTTGAGCTGAGGGGAACAGCTTGCGGGCTGAAGTGGGAGCGAAGAGTTGCTCAAGAACAAACGAACTGGGGATTTTGACAAAAAAATGAATGGTTACGTTGGTGTGGCCTTTAGGATTTGTTATCATAATGTCGAAATTTCAGAATCCCGACAAACTTTAAAATTTTTTTCGAAAAATTTCCGGGAAAACTGGCTTATGTAAATTTTGGCATTCTGAATTTCGACATTGAGAACTTTAGACTCTCTGAAATTTCGACATTTCGAGATCTTGAAATCTCGACATTATAACAATTCGGCGTCATGTGTTTCGACGCTATGATGATTTTCGACATCTTTAAATAAACCCAGCCTGTAGCTATCGTCTAACGGAGAATTTGATTAATTTACCGTTTCCACAACTTTCCAATAATTTGCATATTTTCATATTCATATCCCCCGCACCAAATCGTGCTCGTCAATATGGTCCGCGTATACCACCCGGGCTTCTTAACACCAGGTGGATAATGTCTCTCTTCTTGCCTTTTTAGGACCAAGCCGGGGTACACGCAACACGCTCATTACCCTCCTCCTTCGCCTTGGCTACCAATCAAATCGACGGCGAGAGAGAGAGCGAGAGAGAAAGAGAAAGATTGAAAGAGTGAGCGAGAGAGAGAGAGAGCAACAGACGAAGGCCATTCCAGGCCTGAACCTTTTCGTCGACTCCGAAAAGTGCCGGTCACAGCTGTTGCCATTGAACCCCGGGGGAGGTTGCCTTTTTCGGCGTGTGCGCGGCACGCCTAAAAACGGCGTTTGAAATTCAGCCGGGGGGGGGGGGGTGAGAAAAGGCGATGAATAGTTAACGGGGGTGTATGCAAATTTTATGAGATTTTTCGGAATCGTGTCTTTTTCGGGTTTTACGCATAGCTTAAGGGCGCGGGGAGATGCAAATTTTCTGACAAAAAAGTCGTGGTATTCCCTTGTGTACTGTAGTTTTACCATTTTTGCGAAAACTTAAGGTTAGCATAGATCTTTTAAGAATCCAAATTATGCAGGAAGGTCTTTAGGAAGTTTGTATTCATTAACAAGGATCTCTTGACTTAAATTCAAGCTTTTTTTTGTTTTAAGACAATTAAATAATTCCATTAAAGGTACCAGGAAAGCAAAATTCATGCCCTTATATTCGCATTTTTTAAAAATCACGTTTAGCGCCTAAAATTGACCTAATTACCATACCCCACAAAGTGCGGTACCCCCCACCACCAGACACACCTTGTAAATCGCTAATAGGTGACCCGTTACGAGTCGTATAACGTAGCGCCATTCTCTGAAGGTATCGGTAGGCTCGTGGCTGCCATTCTCCGGCTATTACACGGCTCTAAAGTTGCACAAGGTCGGCCTAGAGGGTAGAGGGATACACGAGTAAAACGGGGCAAAAGGTACGGGGCGCCAATTGGGTGGTAAAGTTGCCAGGGCCCGGATGCCCCCGGGCTACCATCAAAGACACACCGCCTGGGATGGGGACACGACTGTATGGAGGTTTTTTCGGACAGTTTTTCTCTAATTCTCTCTCCCTCTCTCTATCTAGCTCTGCCTCTCTCTCTTTCCCTCTCTCGCTCTCTCTCGCTCTCTCTCTATGTCGGTTTGTCGGAAGGAATCGACCACCCGGTGCGCCTGGCCGCTCTGATTTTTTGCCGGGCATTAGAGGGACCGCCAAATCGGGGGCTAATCTATTAGCTGCATCTTGTAATTATGCGCTAATCGATGGTGAGCAGGGGAACTAGCGGAGAATATTAAGGAAATTAGCATATTGGTGGTAACGGAGAAAAGCAGGCGAGAAAATGCTTATAAAAACTTATAAAATCAAATTTTAAAATTATAAATTTCGTCAAAAATAAAAATACCATAAAAATTACCATAAAAATATCGGATTGCGGGATTGCGCAGAAAAAATGCGGAAAAACAAAACGCGCATTAATAGAGAGCGTGGCGGCTAAACCTGATCATTACGAAAAATTCAGAAAAATCGTAAAATTTGCATTTTTGGAATTTTTCGGCTTTCGGGTGTCGCTTTAAAAAGGCGAAAAGAGACGATTTTGGTATATCGAAACATCCTATAAATGCCTGAACTTGCAGGAGACCTCGGCGCCATCCAGACCATCCAACAGACCCAGTTCGTCCCGCTCGGTGATGTCCTCTGCGACGCGATTGCTCACCTGAACAGAAATGTACGTTTCTCGCTCTCTCTCACTCGCTCGCTCTCTCTCTATCTCTCTCTTTTTCTCTTTCTCTCTCTTTCTTTCACTCTTTCTCTCTCTCTTTAGCTCTCGCTATCTCTCTCTTTGTCTCTCTCCATCGCTCTTTTGTGAATATTCTGATTTCAGGGCCAAGCAGCTACTCTCGTCACAATTAGGGATCATATCTCGCAAAATTGCGCCCAAGTTGCTTCTCCTACCCTGGAGATGCTCAGGCAGACGACAGCTTCTTTGGCTACTACCGGACTTGTTTATCAGATGGGGGAGCACTTCTTCGTTTCCGGTGAGTGGAGCACGAGCGTTTTAAAGGGAGCATGAACACTGGTACCAAAGTGCAAAAATTGTAGCTTCCTTTAGCATAGTTACTTAAAAAGAATAAAATTTCGAAAAATGTTTGAAAATCAAATACAACTCAATTTTCCAGCCACCTCCCGTTTAATTCTTTAAAGGGAGCACGACAGCTGTAAAAAAAACGCAAAAAATCAAATTTGCATTTTAAACTTGATTTAAACCCTTTTCCAGTCCCCGCCCAACTCCTCGCCGACCAGGAAAACCAATCTCCACAACGCCAAGCCGCTGTCGCCCAAAAAGTCGAGCCCAAGCAGACGAAAACGCAAGACCGACGCGGCTTCGGCATCCTGGCCAAGCTGTTCAGGCGGGCGGAGAACAAGCGGGAAGAGCAGAAGCCGCAGCCGGCCGCCTTCTCCGTGCCGCCGGTGCCTCAGGCTTGGACCTGCGGAACGAGGATGATTCCCGAGCCCTGCCCCGCCATGCCCAAGACGGTCATGCCCGCCCAGCCTCCCAGCAATGTTTGGTAGGTTTTTGAGGCTTTTTGGGGCATCTAAGTGCCGTAATGGGTCCCACAGTTTTGAAAAATATTATTTTCATGTCGTAATTGTTCCTGAACGCGGGAAAACAAAGCTTTTCATATCGTATATATAGAATCTCAACTTTTTGATGTCGTAACCGGTTTACGACGCTTTAGTACTGGCCGTTTTCATGTCGTAATCGGTTGCAAAGCCACGAAAACACTTTCCGGCGGCCTCGGAAACTTGAACAAAGCGCTTTTTTGCAAGGGTATAACCACCCATAGCCCTCTCACGTCGCGAAATGGTACCATTTCCGGTGCAGACCTACTGACGCCGGGGAGATGAGACGATTTAGGGTGGAAAGCAGAATTCGAAAACTCGAGGAAAACTCAGAATTTTAACCAAGATAAACTATAGGATTGCGAAAAATAGGTGTGTCGCTAGCTAGAAAGTTCGTAAAATTAGCCTAATTCTCTTAAAAATCGATTAAATCGATTTTTTTAGAAGTCAACCGTGAAAATGGCAGTTTTTAACTACTGTAATGCACATTTAAGCGACCCTACGCTCTTTAGGTTACCGATTTCACTTGATTAGCATAAGTTATTGTTGAAATTCCAAAAAATTGCAAATTTTAACGCTTAAAATGCGCATATTCTCGAATTTTCGTGGTTTTCTATGGCTACCGTAACCTTTAGAACTCAAGCGACAAAAGGGTCGGTCTAGGGTTAAAGATTCAAGAAACACCGAAACCTACAATTTTCGGACCTCAAAATTAGCCTATTTTCGCATTCTCAATTTTTTCCTGACTGCCGTAACCCATCCCCACTACCGTAGTACCTCTCCAGAAATTCAAATTCAAACCCTCCTTGTTGTCGGCTACCACCCTGCTCCTGGGGGTACCGGCAGCTGGATCGACTTCCGTTTTTCGCCATCACCCACCCCCTATAGCCCTTCAATTTGGGTAGGTGCACTACGGGTCAATCCAAACAACACGGCTTTTAGCCAACCCGGGTTGTTTGGGCAGCTAGGGGGGTCCTGTCTATTGTGCTAATGAGCAGTCAGAGAGTAGTGGGGGAGGGATAAGCCGTGCTTGTTCCAACTAGCGTACCACTAACACCTGCAGGTGCACAGCCCAAAATGCTAGCACCAGCACCAGCGCCATGTCGGAGTCAATTGGACGCAAAACATTTGAATGGGGTGCGTTGGTGCGCGTAATGTTTAGGGGAGCAAGAGCTTGTTCTAGGGAGCTGTGGAACGTATTCAAAAATTTTTAACGGACCGTAAATAGTACGTTAACGTAGCTGAAACTGGAAGTGCTTTAGTTCCCACGACTTTCGATACCTTTGGAAAAAGCTTACATTACCCTAACCGGAAATGCAGGTTGCGTTTCTCAAACAAGTAAAGTTTTTACGATTTTTATTATAGATTTTAAGATTTTAATATCAAGGTTTTTAAGCCAAGTTTTTAAAACAATATACAGATTAAATTATGCGCACAAAAATTATCAAATCTGTTTTTAAAATCGATAAACCAAAATTCCTTAAAATATACCTTCAGATAGTTCGTGCTCTGCTGTAGGTGGCTCTCAAAAATCCCAGAAAATTCTAAAAAACACGCATTAATGATGGTTAGCTTGCATTCCAAGCTAGATGGTAAATTAGTGCCTACACATGGCTACATTTCCAAGCGTTTTTTGACCCAGACGGCCCCTAATCAAAACCACATGTTTTGCTTGACCTATTCGCCTGTCTGGGCCGAGTTGTGCTCTGATCGGGGAATCCCCTCGCGCCGTCTCGTGCTCCCCTATACATTCCCAGATGCTCCAACCGGCCGTGTTCCGCTGTAGACAGTTTATCGGGGGAGTTGAGTACGAGGCACGAGACAAGACGGTCACCCGGGTCGGGTTACTGTCTAGCCCGAGCGCGTGGATTTCTAATTTTTGGCCCAACCAGGGGATAAAGAAGATCAGGGATCTAGTGACAAAATCTCGATACCTAAAGCGCTCGAAAGTTTTGAATTCATAAGCCCATAACGGCCCTTAAAAACTGAATATAAGCGAGGCGGTCTCAAAAATGACCATTTCTATGCCTTTCACAATTAATTATTCATTTACTATCGTGAATCGAGCATGTAGCTTATCATCTGTTATTTTAAAGGGCCCCTGAAGGCTAGGAAGCTATGGTTTTAATTAATTGGGCGAATTTTGGCCATTTTTTGGTTGTTAAGGTTATCATGAAAGTCAACTTAGCTGAAATTTAACATATGGTCGACTGACCAATTTTAACAAGCCGGTTTTCCGACGCTAACTTAAGACTTTTTTAAAGGGCCGACGCGGGCTATTTTCATGGATTTTCCAGATTTTTGAGTCCTGCGGTACCCTGCTGTAGGTGCTTCCAATTCCTCAGATCTCAATATGCAAATCAGCGCCCAAATCAGAGCTCAAAATACCTATGTTAAATATTCAATAAAATACCTGTCTAAATAACTATTTTTTTAAAGGCCCATTGAAGTTGGTTTTCCATGGATTTTCCAGATTTTTGTATCCTACGTTATCCTGCGGTAGGTGCGCCAATTCCTCAGATCTCAATATGCAAATCTGCACACAAATCAGAGTTGAAAATATCTATCTGCCCGTCCCGGCAATAATCCTTGTGTCGCTCCCAGAAACCCTTTAGAAGCTATTGTCCGGAACCGCCGGGACACGGTACCCCTAAATTGCCTGTGGGCACGTTTTAGCCCTTCAGTTATTTGCCAAGATATGCCCCCAGGCATTGCAGGGGCCCGCGGCCCGCCGATTCATGCCAATTAGCGGCTTTTGTGGAGGGCTAAGAGGATCTACGCTTGTAGTACGGGGGTTCTCACCTATTCTACTAGCGGGGGAGAGAGTGACTACGCTTTGCGCCCATTGAAAAATTACGGCAAGGGGCAACGGCAGTAAAAATTGTGAATTGGTGCGATGACCCTAGGCAAAATTTGCACTTCAACGCCAAGTGAGACGCCAGACCTGTCTCAGAATTGTAGGATATGCAAATTAGGGTCGAAAAATTGCCTAGACTTGCCAAATTTCCTGGAATTTGAGTAAAAGAAATAGTCGCTATAGGATTTCGCTTAATTTTAACAATGTTTATTGAAAGCGCTTACAAAAATTTCGAAGTAAATCTTTTATGATTACATTTGACATCGAGCATCTCAAAAAATTCCCTTTTTTATGCAAAATGATGAAAATCCGTCGAGAAGCAAAGCAGCTTGCCGCAAAATTTGCATGCTCGCTTTGCCTTTGACTTAAAAAATATTTTCTATGCTTTATTTGAGCCTTGTAATTTTCAAAAAATTGTCCTTACCAAATTTGCATATTAGGAAATTCATCTCTCTCGCTCTCTCTCACTATCTCTCACTCTCCCTCTAACTCTTTCTCACTCTCTCTCTCTCTCTCTCTCTCTCTCGCTCCCTCTCTCTCTTTCTCCCTCTCTCTCTCATGACACTGTCCTCAAAACTCAATCTTATCATCTTATACTCTCTAATCCGATGGCATACTACCCAAAAATGGCAACGAGAAAGGGTAGAATGCGTGACCCGACCGCATCCGGGGGTATCAATTAGTGGGGTTCTCGGGTTGACGGGCCGTCCAGCGGGGATTGTGGCGCAACACCGTAAGGTTTTTCGGATATTCAAGGTGGGGGGGGGCATGGGATAGGAGAGTGAGAGCTGCAGAGCTCATTCTCGAGGACAGGGTCCAATTAAAATTGCTCAACATTGGGCCTTTTATGGTGAGGATGAGCCTCGGGTAATGAGAATGACCTTAAAAACGACCTAAAGGAGGCAATGAGGGCAAAAACCCTCCCCACGGCTTCGTTTCAAATTTTCTAAGCCTTAGACTGTGAAATGAACGCGTCATTTGGAGTGTGGTGTAACTGTCGAAACCTAACCGGCGAAAAACCCACGATTTTCAACTTTCTAGTGCCGCTAAAAGCCGAAAGCCGCCGCCCGAGTCGCTTTTTAAGATTTTTTGGGGGTGCTAGGCCCGCGAAAACTTTGCCAACTACCTGGCTGAATGGGACACCACACCTGCACTTTTGCGATTTCCCTAGTGTTCCCCCCACACGCCATTCCATTCAACGCCTATTTACGGGTTTTACGAGCTCCCTGGCTCAGCTGGGGGTAAAAACCGGATATGAAACTGGCACAGGGACGTAGCGTAAGGCGGGCCCCCTGGACCCGGGCCCCCCCGAAATCGGTCGGGGCCCGAAAATTTCATAAGGGGGGACCCTTATGATTTTTATTTTCTCAAAAATTTTGCTGCCTGCGGCGCTATTTTTTCACTTTTTTACTGCTATTTGTAGGGCTACATAGCCTTTTTTCCAAAATTTTTCGCCTGCGGCGCTGTTTTCTCGTTAATTGTTTGAGTTTTTCGAAAAAATTTTTCGGGGTTCAAGAATGTTTTCAGCACCCAGAAAGTTCAGAAAAACCAAATAAAATCAGTTTTAAAGGATTAACAAAGCTCTAAGATCCAAAATTAGCATATTGGGAGCATCAACCGACTAGAAAAAACTTTTAAATGACCATTGAAGCCTTAAGACTTATTCGGAAAGATATTGATTCTAAAAAACTTGGAAAAGTCATTTTATGCAAATTTTTCAGCACCGACGCCATCGCTCAGAACCTGCAGAAGCACCTGGAGACAAACTATCTGAAGGAGACCACGACGATTGATAGGAGAAGAAAGACACAGAACAGGAGGGCCGAGAGGAGACAGAGGGCGCCGAGCACGAGCCACAGCAGCTCGGAATGCTTGAACTATGGGCCCGTTGACCCGCCAGAGTGCCTGCCGAGAAATGCCGAATATGTTGATGATCTAGCGAAGAGGAGAAAGCGGAACGCGCAAAAGTGAGTTTTGAATAAGTTGGAAATGACAAGCTAGCAGACATTTTTGCGGATTATTTTCCTTCTGGTATCTGGAAAGTTTACTAGCAGAGAACTTTGAAGTATGGCTTTCATGGGGCGGGCTAGCAGAGATCTTTTGAGCAATTTTTGCTCCAACGGCGTAATAAGCATGTTAGCAGAAAATCTTGAGGAAAATCTTCTTCTCTCGAACGAGGTGCCAGCAGAGATTCTTGAGGAAATTTGGTGCTAGAACCTAATAACGACAAACTAGCAAAGATCATTGTGGAAATAAGTCTCAAAAATCAGTTATAATTTCTTAATTTTTAGGCGTGAGAGCTACCACATTCGCGCTTCGACCCCGGTGACGCAGACCGACTCCGCTTACAGTCCTTCTCCTGTTAACACTGAAGAGGAGCACGAGCTTCATGCCAACAGGTGAGAAACTACTTCTTACTCTCTAACTCTCGCTCGCTCACTCACTTGTCCATCTCTCTCTCTCTCGCTCGCTCACTCCCTCTCTACCTCTCTGATGCTCTCTCTCTCTCCCGCTCACTCTCTCTATCTCTCCCTCTCACTCTCCTATCTCTCTCGCCCCTTAACGAATTTTACCCCAAATTTTCAGATGGAGCGACGAAGACCGCGTTGTACGTTACGGTGGCTCGGACGGTGACGTCACCCACACCTACGTCAACCTCCGCAGAATGTCCCTTGGTGCTCAAATGTGCCCCCCGCCTCCCAGGGCGCCATTGGTGCGCCATGAGGACGTCGACATGAGCCAAGAATTCACCCACTGCAACGATACCACCCAGTTCGAGGAGTTCACCACCATCTGCCCCCCAAGTCCCCCGCAGCCAAGGAGATATATCAACCTCATCAGCAACCTATAAATTTTGAAGGGGCCGGGAAGTAATGGGATTTTTGGGAATTTCGAGGATTTTTCGAAGTTTCGGTTGGTGGGCCTTGGAGCGAATTTTAGGAATATTTAAATTTTAAGAAAACGAAAGAAAGCAAGCAATAGTGAGAGAAAGCTAGAGAGAAAGAGAGCGGAGAGCGAGAGAGGAAGAGAGAGAGCGAGAGAGAAAGAGAGAAAAGGTTGATTGCCATTTTCCAAATTATTTTCGCAACTTCAGACATGCTCCCGGCTACTTTTTTTGGCTTTCAAAATCAAAATTTTGCCCAGGAGAAGCTCAATTCTCCAAAAAATTACCGTAACCCATTTAAAGCCAATTTTACGCAACTAAAAGAATCCGAGAAAATCGAAAAATTCCCCAAAAATCCCTGCTAACCTACCCAAAAACCCCAGTGTCGCTGATATCGTTGTTATTTCAAGTCACCTCTCTTGTCCCTGGCTTGTCACGTGTTCATTTCCGAAAAACCGGAGCCTTCCGGAAGACCTGGAAAATCCCTAGGGCTTAATCACCCCTAATTTTCCACTTTTTACTTACTTTGGTGGCCTTCGGAGCCCTTCGGGCCTTACTAGGAGCTCCTGGATATGTGCCATTTTTCAGTATTAATTCCATTTTAATTGTCTAATTTTTATGATTATAATTTTTGTTACGATACGATACTAACTACAGTATTCCTCCGTGTCCCCGTTTAATGTGATAGGCTGGAGTCGTCAAGTGTTCGATAACTCTTGAGCCGTAAAATTCGATGAGTTTACACCAATTTCCACCCTGTTTTCACTTATTAAAAGTATTATTATTGGTTATTTTCGCGGAATGCATGGCTTTTTTGATACAGTAGAGAGATAGTTGTCTTTTTTATATAATTCGTGCAGGAATAAAATGTGCTAAAAAACAAGCAAATTGTCCCAAAAAACTGCAAAGCACCTCAGACTATAACTGAATTTACGAAAAATTGTCTTTAGAGGGGGAGGCTTAGTTTCTTAAAAGCAATAGAAAGACAGAGAATTACAGTAGCAAAGGCTCATCATCACAGTAAACTTCTGAAAATTCACGTTACGCGTTTGATGAGAGTTTTGTGAGACTAAAAGCCCTCGTCCCGGTGGAAATGGGCTTCAATGTTTCTTTAAAATCGACGGTTCGGAAGGCTTGATACGTTTTTGTACGTTACTTGATACGGGAAGCTACGTTTTTAATAATACTTTCACAAGAGGATGACTATTCCAATAAAACTTACATGCCTAAGCTGAGCCTTAAGTTTTCAGATTTTAGGTTTCGGAGATATCTTTAGGTGCTGCACAGTTTTTTTAATGTTTTTGGTTCTCTTAAATCCGGAAAATACCTGATAGCTCTTTACTTTCCATTCTATTCCAAAGAACGGTGTAACTGGTGGACCCGGAAATTTCTAGGCTTTTTCCTTTTGCACCCATCATCCCTAATCTTCCCACGGGGCGCAGAGATGGACAAGGTAGACCCACATTTGTTTGGGTGCTCCTTGTGGCTCTATTTACTCCTCGGACATGACGCCTGTCTGCCCGGATTTTTTGAGGATTTCGGGAACAGAGAGAACATCACAGAGAATCTTTTAATGAGGTTCGGGCTAGGCTTAGCTTATGCTTAAGCTTAGGCTTAGCTTATGCTTAGGCTTAGGCTTAGCCTTGGGCTTCGCATGGGCTTAGGCTTAGGTTTAGGCTTAGCTTCGCTTAGGCTTAGGCGTAGGCTTCGCTTAGGCTTAATTTAGGCCTAGGTTTAGGTTTAGGCTTAGGCTTAAGCTAAGCTTTGCTTTTAGGCTTAGCTTAGGAAAGACATCGTTTATTAGTGCACCAGCCATCATATTCCAAGGCATTTCCAGGCCATCGTGACGTCACCACTTTTTCAAACCTTTTACAAAGCTTTGCGTGCTGAGGATTACAACTCGGCTGACCCAACTGTGACCCTCCAGCGAACAAAAGAAAAGCCGAAAAGCCAGGGCGGCGGATCCGATTTCGCTTGTCACCTGTCTAGCCTCTCACGCCGGGGCATCAACTTTTGCAAAGCAACCCGCTAATCCCCTTTGTTCGGGCTAATTTGAATTTTATGATAGCTTCGGGAGTGACGTTACCCGGAAAGTTAGGGACCTTCTGAAATGGTCTTAAGTTTTCCAACGCATTTAGAAGAAAAAGAATTTGAACATTGGCCTGAAACGTTCTCTCCTTGTCGCGTTATTTTGTATTTTTATTATTTTTGGCGCCTAATCAGTTGGCTTTAGATGCGATTTGTTAAATATATAATTAAACCAAAAAAAACCAAATAATAAAGCGCTTTTTCGTGTTTTTTTTCGTGTTTGTCCAGCCAAAATTCCATCGAGCTAGCGCTCGCTTGTCTCAGCCGTACTCATATTATTTGTATCGATCCGCTCCCAGTTCCATTTTCCATAAAAATTCCACCCTGCCCCGGCATCCATTCCGTTTGTATAGATATTTTGTCTCGCCGCCGGGGCTCGAGAAATGGAGGACCTTGCGAGCCAGAAGCTATATTTGATCGATTTCCCGAGCCGGGCCTGTCTTTTTTATTTTTTTTTTCCATAACATAGCCCTTTTAGAAGTTTTTAGCTGACTTAAAGGGGCTACGAAATGCCAAAAATTGAGTGACGGCCCGAAAATCGGAGCCCTGTACGTGGGAGGCCTCTGCAAACATAGGGTCGCGGGAAGCTCGCAAATTTGAAATTGCCAGTTGTCACCTCGAAATCGCGTTCTCGGCTGTTTCTGGGCCAAATTTGATGATTAAAACACCAAACCTATTTAAAATTGAGTGAGGATTTCAAAAATGAGCTCAGAATGTGCGAATTATAGTGTTTTCACAAAGAAACCGGGCAAAAACAACTTCGAGCAAAAATCGAAAGAGCGAAGGCTCTCGTCCCGCAGCGCCCGCTGGCAATTTGCCAGAAATCAAAGAGGCCTCCCAAAAGGGCTTTGATTTGGCAGTTCGGAGCCCCTTTAATAACAGGTATTAATAACTTAATACCTGCTTTTACTGCTTTTTAATTAATGTCTTAAAATATTGCGCTTAACAACAACTTTTCGAGGCAGTTTGAGGGCTTTTGACCACCATGGAATTTAATACCGACTTTTTCAAAGTTTTAAGCTACTTTCGAAGCTATTCCGGTTCAGCCCAACGTTTTGTTCAAAATTTGAACCCGTGGGCAACCAGTTACGCCGCGAAAAGCGGCCGTCCAGAGAAGGGACTAGTGTGCGCAACGGCCGGCCAAGCAAAGAGGGCCGTTGGCGTTTCCGTATCGATTGGCAGCAACGCCAGCAACCTAACGCTAGCATTATGTACTTGACATTTTAATTAATTCAGACGTTATAATCGTCAAATTTGGCTTTGTTTCCTTACCAAAATATACAGGAAAATTGCTGAAAAACGTTAGGATTTTCAAGACCCACATTTTTTTTCTTACGTTATTTAACCCCGCGTTTTTCAAAGATCGTTTAAGTGCTGCTAAAATCTGTTGGAAACCTGTAGCACTCGTCAGAACGTGTTCATTTAAATTAAAAAAGTCAAAAATGATGATAAAGTCAAAATCCTTACTCGATTCGAGATCCCGTTTGGAAATTCAGGCTTAAAAATGGCTCTAAAGGCCTTCCGCTTGTCCGTTAGTCTTTTTCTTGAAAGAAACCACATTTTTATCCCTGAATTCCGCTAAAATCCGTGTTTACACGATACTTTTCTTAGCTTAAATCCCAAAGTCAAGGCAACTTGTCTTCGGGTTTTCAATTGTTCTTCTTATTTGCCTAAATATAACTCCATTCATCTCAATTTTCAGAAACAATGCTCAAACTACTTCTAACGCTCTGCCTGCTGACCGTGGCCGCTGTGATGGCCGATAAGGAGCGGGTGATTGATGGGGCTGGTGCTCGAATGCGTGGCCATCATCATGCCGATGGCGAGAGTGATGATGTTGATCATCAGGTATGTGTAGGAGGAGATAATTTAAGATATTTTAATGGTGGCAAGAAAGTTCTAAAAATCACCTTGGTCGAAAAACGTCTTGTTACGTTGGTTTCGGTTTAACGTATCCGGAACATCTGGGGGAGTGGAAGCATGAATTCGTCCCTTTCTCTATAGGAGTCTATCTCATTCTCAAACTCCCACACTCGCTCTCTTTACCTCTCTTTCTCTCTCCCTCGCTCTCTCTCTCGCCTTTTCTGCGCATAAACTTCCTCAAAACTTTCTTAGGCCAACAACTAGCAAAGATCGTTTAGGAAGAGTCTGCCTAGTCATCTCTTTCTCTCTCTTTCTGTCTCTCTCTCTCACTCTCTCTCTCTCGTTCTCTCTCCCTGCCTTTCTCTAGCTTTCACTCTCTCTTTCTCTCTCTCTCTCTCTCTCTCTCTCTCTCTCTCTCCCTCCCTCACCTTCCCGCAAAACCCATGCTCAATAATTCAAATCGCCCGTCTGGCTGTCTTCCCTGGTCACGATCCTCGCGCTCTAATTGTCATCATCTGGCGGCAATTCCGGCGCTCAGGCTGTCGAAAATCATCTGGCTTATGACCTCTAGGGGGCTAGATGGCAACACATGGAGGCCTAGAGCACTCAAAAGCGGTCGGGGCGCGGCTAATTGTGGCCCTTAAAGGGCCCATTGGACCCCAAACAGTGCCAGATTCCGTCAGATGGCTGCGGTCATCTGGTAGGGCATCTTTAAAGTGACACCGATCCCCCAGGATGGTCTAACCTAACCGATTGACCTTTCGGGGTCATTAACCCCCTGGGGCTATGATCGTTCTAGGGCCCCGCGAGCCTTGACTGTCCCTTTAATGGCTGTGCGCCAATTTTGAATTATTTAGGGGTAAGGGTTGGGTGGTGGAATGTAGGGATCGACAAAAAAAACTTCGGAAAATTAGAGAAGAAAACGGAAAAAGAAAAAGAAAAAGCTAGGCAGGAAAAGGACAGAGAGAGAGAGAAGATTCTAGACATTTCTAGATTAGAAGCAGCAAAGCCTGGTTTTGTACGTGAGTCAAGCTCAGGCGCAATTTGGTGAGCACGAGATTATGGAGGAATCAGAGAAAGAAAACCTCAAAAAATTTCGTAGACAACCGAAGAGGGCCCGCAGACGGGGTAGGGTCTGGATAAAATAGTGGCAGACGATTGAGACTCAGACTCGCCAAAAATGAGCCGATTTGGGGAGCACCAGTTCCGGAGAGGAGCCGGAGAAGTGGAATCAAAAACGAATTGGGGTTATTCTAAGAGAAGCCCATTGGGCTTTTTCGCTCCCTCTCTCTCTCTCTCGCGCTCTCTCTCTCTCTCTCTCTCTCTCTCTCTCTCTCTCTCTCTCCCTTTTGGACTCTGTGCCTGCATACGAAGGCAAAAGGACCTGAATCTGGAAGTCTCAGGCCTAGCCGCAAGCTCCAAAAGCAGCTAGGAAACCCGGTTTAACAAGGTTAAGCTCGGCTTAATAAACGTAGTGATATAGAGTGAGAGCGAGAGAGAGAGAGCGAGAGAGAGTGCATGAGATTTTTTTTTACCTTCACCGTTCTTTTAGACGCTTTATTCTGAAATCATCATCAATGATCATTCGAATCATCTGAAATCTGGCTACGATACCTCGGGCTAGTTTTAATCTACCTAAGCCTAATTTCGATTAACCGAGTAACCGAAGCTAAACTTGTCGAAGTCGAGGCCATCGTGGTTTTGCTAGACATGACGAAGTTGACGTCTATCTCGATCTCCATCGGATTTGCCCTTTCGCTTTCGAAACCCTTCGAACCCATCCAGACAACCCTACTCCAGACAGTCTCTAACAAACCTAACCCCTCCCGGCTTCTGCTGATCCCTAACTGTGACTCATATGCAAAACATTTGCCCGGCTCCTCCTCCTCCCGGGCTCAGCCGCCGAAATCTGGGTCTCCCTGGGTTGGCCACTATCTCCTATGGGTTGAGAAGCGATTGATCCGAATGTACTCATGGTAGACAGTGAAAATGATCCGTCTTCTCCGGCTCCTCCACCCATCACTCGTTCTCTAACATAAACATTTTCCCGCCGGACACCCCGGAGTAGCCCATCAAACCCGGGTCATTTGCCACATTTGCATCCCGGCGCGCGGCGGTCCTTGGGTCTCTAGGCCTAGTTTTCAGGTCTTACTGTAGTTTTCTGGGCTGGGAGTCACGGTAGCCTCGCGTATTGTGTCGTACCATCGTCTAGTGTAGGTATTTTAGCCTGCTGACGAGTACTGGAGCGTACAGTAGCGTGAGCACTACCTCGTTTGCATCCCGGGCGCGGCGGTCCTTGGGGCATCCGGGCCTAGTTTTGAGGTCTTACTGTAGTTTTCGGGTCCTGGGCCTACTGTAGCCTAGCGTATTGAGTTGTACTCTTGCGTTCGCGTAGGTGTTTAGCGTACTGAGGCGTACTAAAGCGTACTATCGCGTACTGAAGCGTACGGCTGCCTAATATTGATCTCATTTGCATCCCGGCGCGCGGCGGGCCTTGGGTCTTCGGGTCTAGTTTTGAGGTCTTACTGTAGTTTTTGGGGCTATAGGACGTAGGGTGCTGTAGCGTAACGTATTGCACCGTACTCCAGCGTACTGTAGCGGAACCTAAGCAGTTCCAGGCACTGTAGCCGAATGTATTGCAACTTGTTCCAGCGCACATTAGCGTATCCCATTGCAGTGGTACGTTACCGTACCAGAGTGTACGGTAGCGTGCTCCAGTGTAGAGTAGCTTATCATTTTGCAGCTTACACGCGTGTACTGTAGCGTAGCGTAACGTATTGCAGCGCACCCCGTCTTCTTAAAATTTAAAAAACGTTCGCAATCTATGTTAATTCCCCGTATCCAGGCAATCCTTGGGTCCAAGCACCGCGCCGAGGAGTTCGACCATCTGCCGGCCGAGGAGTCGCAGCAGCGACTCCGCGTCCTCGCCCAACGGATGGACAAGAATGGCGATGGATTTGTGAGTTTACAAGGAAAATATTGGGTCCTTGAGCTCGTGCTCCCCAAAAAGCTGTTTAGGTCGACGAGGCCGAGCTGACCGAGTGGATCCGGAACTCGATGAAGTCGCTGGATGACGAGGAGGCTGGGGAGCGGATGAAGGAGATGGACAGCGATGGCGACAACAAGGTATGGATCGGGGATTGCTCTCTCTCGCCCTGTATTTTTCTCTCTTTCTCTTTCTCTCTCTTTCTCTCTCTTTTTCTCTCTCTGTCTCTCTCGCTCTATCTTCCACATAAACTATCGTTTTTCAGATCAGCTGGGATGAATACGTAGCCGACTCATTCCCGGAGACCGACCTCGCCAAGCTCGACCACGACGACAAGAAGTTGCTCAACGAGGACAGGAAGTACTTTGCTGTCGCCGATCAGGGTTGGTGTCACCGTGCCTTTAAACCCCAACTTTCAGACGGCGACGGAAAGCTCTCGGAAGAAGAACTGCGCGCCTTCCTCAATCCCGAGAACTATGACCATATGCATAAGGTTCTCGTGGAGGTAGTTGAACTCGAAGGGGCGAGGCAACCCTCTTTTAGGTAACGCTTATGGAGAAAGACGAAAACGGCGATGGCGCCATCGACCTCAACGAGTTCCTCGGCGAGATGAAAGACCAACCGCACTCCGATTGGCATCAGGTGATTTTTGGCCCGACAAATTGAAAAAAATCCGCATAGGCAATCCAGCGTGGATTCTTGCGGAAATTCGGCTTCAATTAATGCATATTCCCAGGTTGAAAAGACCCGATTCGCCCAAGAGTACGACTTGGACAAGGACGGGTTCCTGCGAGGAGAAGAGGTGCGGAAGTGGCTGATTCCGGATTTGTATCAGGTTAGTGATGAAGATCTATTTGTCTCCATCTCTCTCCCTCTATTTCTCTCTCTCCCTCTCTCTCTCTCGCTCTCTCTCTCTCTCTCTCTCTTTGTCTTTCTCCCTGTCACTCTCTCCCTGTCTCTCCCACGCTCTCTCTGTCTCTCGCTCTCTTTCACTGTCTCGCTCTCTCTCTCCCTCTCTCTCCCTCTCTCACTCTCTCTCTCGCTCTCGCTCTCTCTCTCTTTCTCAAACCTTTTTTTCAGGTGGCCGTCCAAGAAAGCCGACATCTGATCCAGACGGCTGATAAAGACCAAGACGGCAAGTTGTCGATCGAGGAGATCGTCGACGAGTACCGTACCTTCGTTGGATCAGAAGCTACCAACTACGGAGAACACCTGAAGACGGTCCATGAGGAGCTCTAAACAGCTTTGAGCTCGGGATGGTGGGTTTGGGCCTTGTAAACCGTTCTGAGCTGAGTACGCTGTAATGCGTTACGTTACCATACGCTAGCCTATGCTCAGGTGACACTACAGTACACTGGAGTACCTATAGCTACTGTATCTTCAATACCTTAAGCTACAATAATGTAGCTCGGATGACCCAAAAGCTACAGTAAGGAGAGAACCTGGGCAGGCTAGCAGAGATTTTTGGGGCATTTCCAGTCATTTCAGGTAAGCTAGCGGCAGCTAGCAAAGATTCTATTAAATTTTTGGAAAGATCTTTAACCCTCTAATTTTTATTTCCAGCCACCCACTTCCGCCCGGTTGCCACCTCAGAAAAATCCTCACAGGTTCCACCACACGCTCGGGTAATCAAGCCTATCTTTTTTGTAATTGAGCATTGACATTTATCTAATGATTATCTCATAAATGTATCATTCAAAGCATAATCTGATTTTGCAAAGATTTTGGTCAGGCTTTAGACGATTTTCTAGCCCGGAAGTGCATCAAAAACCCGGATTTTTAACAACTTTTTGAGATTTTTGGCAAATTTTAGCTAAATTTTTTCTGCATTATTTAGATGTAGTCATATAGTACCTTTAAAAATTAATTTTTACGTATTTCTCTGACGACCACACACTCCTAATTACGGGGCTTCATCCCGGTAATCTCGGAGCTTTCCGGATAGCAACATAATTACCGGTTTCCGGGCGGAATCCCGCTCGGAAATCTTGTGCCATCGATCCGGATGGAAAACAGCATCTCTAACCTGACCAAAATCTTTGCCATATTCTAATTTTATGCATTTAAATTCGACTACTGTATATCGCACATTTTCGATATTTTTCGAGCTTTGAATCGCTTTGAATCGCCCTTGAAAAGCATTGCCAATTACTGAAAAAACCCTAATTAACGTATTCGGATTTCCACTATTTTTTATCATTTTTAAATGAACAGGCAACCAGAAAATTGCGGATTGATCGGGTATGCATCACAAAATTTAAGATTTTTTAGTGGTGTTTTAATTTGAAAAATGAATTTCCCAAGCCACCAATTATCAAAAAAAATTGTCGTTTTCTTTTCATCTATGTAAATTAGGTTATTCTATGCATTTTTCTATGTAAATCGCTCTGGAAAAACTTTATGACCGTTCCGATCCGAAATATTTTTATGTAAATTAGGTATGCAATTTGGTAGCTCTAGCTCTCCTGAAAAAGCTCACGGTTGTCTCAATTTTTAATTTTTCTGCTGTAATTTCTCGTTACCTTCTGTCTTTCTTATCTTAATTGAGTTATGTAAATCCCCCTTCTCGTGTACAAAACTTTTTAACTTCACTATTTTATTTGTATTTTCATTTCTCGGTAGCCAAGGTCTCGTAGAGCGCCACATGACAGGTATGGTAATATTGAATTTTTGAGCGAATTTCTTGGCGGGTATTTTTTATTAATTTTAGAATGTTATCTTTGTAAATTCCTTTCCCTAATTTTATATCTTATTTTTAGGTAGATTTATTTTTTTGAGAACTTAATTTTGGAGTTCGACCCACTTTGTAAGACGCCTCCGCGCGATCCACACCGGTTGCCACCCTAGGGGGTGGGGCTGGGAATAGGGGGTTGAAATATGCACATTTTGGATTTTCAAAATTATTTTTAATTTTTAAAATATTGTAGCTCTAAATTATTTAATTTTGAAGCTATTTTTAATTTTCCTTTCAAAAATCGTAGCCATTTATGCAAATTCCAGTTTTCGCCGGCTGAATATGTAAATTTTTTCGCTTCAAAAAATTCTTTATTTTAGTATTTAGAAAATCACGTTATAAGGGTTAACAGGATGCAAACTGCGTTTCTGAAAATCAGGATTATGCACATTTTATCATTTTCCCAGCCCCTCCCTGCCACCCTGCTACGCATATATCATCTACAACTACGAGTAATTGGGCGGAAAAACGTCGAGAATTTAAGAGAAATCGGGAAATAAATGTAATTTTTGAGATTTTGGATATATTTTTTGTAATTTGCATGATTTAAAAAACAGAACTTGTAAATTTAAATATACTTTTAATTTTTGTTTAAAACCCCATTTTTCGATTATTTTCGATGCGCTCCCGCCCAATATTTGCATTACAAGGGAACTGATAGGGGTTTCATGAAGCTGGGTTACTGTAAAAATTTGAATTATTTTTGTAGAATAGAAAAAAAGCAACTTTCAATTTTTCGTAAGATCTGAATTTGAAAAATTAGAATTTCGACCATGACAATTTAACATTAATTTTGAATTTTTGAATTTTGAGCTTCTTAAAAGCTTCGTAAAAAAATGCAAATTTCTACAGTAACCCCGCTTTCCGGCCCCTTTAATCTGATTTTTTATAAATCTAATTTATTATGCCGCCAGCCATGCTACCGACGCAACGGAAAAATGCCGCCCGGTCACGTGTCCCTCAAAATGATTTTTACAAAAAATCACTAAAATCGAAAAAATTGTTGTTAGCCCTATTTATTGGATTCACCTCTCGTTGTTGTGTTGTTCGAAAAAATGCCCCAAAAAACTACAAAAAAATTGTTGTAGAGTCCAAAAAAACATAAAAATTCTAAAAAATGGACTTTTTCTAAAATGTAACGAATTTTTGTTCCAAACTAGAATGTCTTTTCTATTTTTTCTAAATTTCGATTTGTAGGTAAAAAAATCCCCCAAACACCGTAGCCTAATGTCTTTCCGGTTTTGTAATGGAATATAAAATATTAGCTTTCACCCAATTCTTTCAATTTTCCATGTTTTTATGTTCTTTTTCTTTGTATATTTTTTTGGTATTTGATGGCTTGGGAAAATTCAAATAATTAAAAAGCGGCTAAAAAATTTATTCTGATTTTTCGACACCGTAATCCGAACGCTAAAAACCTTGGCAATGCTTTTCACTCGATATCTTGCTTTTCTCACCTTTATCGAAAATGTGCGATATACGGTATTCTTTTTTTGATGCTCTCATTTTTGTAATTGTGTTTTTTGTATTTTTTTTAATTTGTGCAATGTTAATAAAGTAATTTTTAAAAATCAATTGTTTGTTTTTAAAAAATGGGTTCATGAAGCCAGCAGTCTACTGTGGTTGAAGTTCAACTGTTTGAAAATTGTGAGAGAGACAGAGAGAGAGAGAGAGAGAGAGAGAGGAGAGAGAGAGGAGGAGAGAGAGAGAGAGGGAGAGAGAGCGTGAGAGCGAGAGAGAGATCGAGAGAGCGAGAGTGAGGAGAGAGCGGGAATGAGAGCGGGAGAGATAGCGAGAGAGAGAGGAGCGAGAGAGGAGAGAGCGAACGAGAGAGAGAGCGGGAGAGAGCGGGAGAGATAGCGAGGGAGAGAGAGCGAGAGAGAGAGCGAGAGAGCGAGAGAGCGGAGAGAGCGAAAGATACTTCCTTATTTTGACGGAATTTGGGCGACTTCCGCTTACTCTACTTTGTCGCTAATTTCCACCTGTGAATTGAGGAACTGTCGTTATAATTCCGGGTAATTAAGTCCGTGGTTGCTTAGTGGCTAATAATTACGGTAATTGCCACTCAAGCTAGAAAACAAGAATGCGCGAAATTGAGGGTTACAAGCTTTTCGGGTCATATGCAGTGCTTTGAACGTCAGGGCGGCGAACTTTAATAGTACTTTCGAGTCGGAATGTTTTGCTGGTTTTGATGTGCAGATCGTAAGTGACCACTAAGATGTTGTTAACGCAACTAAATACGTTCATAAGTCCGTGACATGAATTGTATTTTGAGACAGTTCGAAGGCATATTTTCCGACTTTTACTTTTTATTGAAATCTTGGTTTGCCCCCCGATAATGCGAGAGGACCCTTACAAGGGAACCACCTAAGGTCAAGGTGGCTTTTCGTTATGGGACCCAGCCTATTTTGTGTAAAATTTTTGCTGATTCGGAACCCGCTTTCAATTTTTTGCTAAATTGCCCAATTTAAAAAGTTATAGCGATTTTAAGGTGGAATCCCGCGGGAAGTCATCTGTCACGATGCCCAACTTTTTTATTTTCATAGGGCATTCGATTTTTAATAGCCTATCTTGTAGAGAATTTTTTTCTGATTCGATTGGTGTATTTCATTAGTGCGCTACTACCTATCGACGATCACTTACGGGACAAAAAAAATGAAAGCGGGTTCGGCATCAGCAAAAAATTCTGCACAAAACAAGCTGGGTCCCATAACGAAACGCCACCTTGACCTTAGGTGGTCCCCTTGTTAGTCTTTGCGCCTTTTCGAGAGTCCAAGTTCTGGTTTCTACTAGCAAACCTGAGATTCGTCATGAATGCAATCAGTAGATTTTATTTTCGTATTTTTCCTGCGAATCCCCAGGTGTTTCCACTTCATGGCCTTTTTAGGCTTAACAAGCATCCCATGACGAAGCCAATCACATTTTCAGGCTCCCACAGTGACTTTTAAGATTTCTATTTTTCTTTCGTTCTTGGCCCCTCCAAAGAAGAAGCCCTGATTTCTTGCATCACTTCCAAAACCACGTGAATCCCGAGGGGTACAATTCTTAGATTCGTTCGCCCGTATTTACGACAATTTTTGCCGAAATTAGATTCGTGGGTGGGTGAGGGGGCGGCAGGTGACTTTTGCCGGTGAAACCAGAATTTTACTCGGGTATCGGGTCTTTTTACGGGCTTCACCGGCGTGGGTGCAGCCGAAAATAGAGCACCACGGGATGGGGGGCAGGCTCATTTCCGGCGTCATTAATGCAACTGTTTTCCCGCAAAAAACTTCGGGAATAGGTTGGCCGATTAATGGTAGCTTTGTTAATTAGGAAACCAAAGTATTTATACACTCTGTGGAAAAACTATGAGACCAGTCGTTTTTCGGCTATAACTTTTCCCCGAATCAAGCAACCATGTTGATATTTATGATTTAGGCTTTCTTTGGTATAAGAAATGTGCATGGAAAAACTGAAGCGGATCCGATACGCGCAAGGTAGTGTTTCGGAAAATTGACCACCTGAAGTTGTAGAAAAACTATGAGACCACTTTTTGTATTGGACTCTAAGAGTTTCCCTTGGTCTTTCCCTCCTCTGTTTTTTATGGAAAACGTTTAATTTAGCCCAAAACTATACGTTTTCGTCATTGGTTATGTTTTTGCTAGCCATATAAATTTTTTCCAAAAAATCGATTTTTACATAGAAATTAGCTTTTAATAAAATTTCTCTGCCAAATAAATTGTATTTCAAAATTTAAGAAATGCCATCCTAAAGAGCACGACTTAACGCACATTTTGGTAGGCACCACTTGACTATACAGGCCGGAATGGGGAAACTACACGTCGATGTGGGAAGTCCTCGAGGTTGCCATCCATTTGCTTGGCATTTTAACAAAGAGCCGCAGAATCACAAATTGCAAGTGCGAAATATTGCTTATTGGGCCTCTGCCGAAAAAGTTTTGTATACCAAAATGTGCGTTAAGTCGTGCTCTTTAGGATGGTATTTCTTAAATTTTGAAATACAATTTATTTGGCAGAGAAATTTCAATAAAAGCTAATTTCTATGTAAAAATCGATTTTTTGGAAAAATTTATATGGCTAGCAAAAACATAACCAATGACGAAAACGTATAGTTTTGGGCTAAATTAAACGTTTTCCATAAAAAACAGAGGAGGGAAAGACCAAGGGAAACTCTTAGAGTCCAATACAAAAAGTGGTCTCATAGTTTTTCTACAACTTCAGGTGGTCAATTTTCCGAAACACTACCTTGCGCGTATCGGATCCGCTTCAGTTTTTCCATGCAGGTTTCTTATACCAAAGAAAGCCTAAATCATAAATATCAACATGGTTGCTTGATTCGGGGAAAAGTTATAGCCGAAAAACGACTGGTCTCATAGTTTTTCCACAGAGTGTATAACCTTTTCCGCCGTCTTTATTTTAGAAAATTAGCATGGAAAATTATGAAAAATGTCATTTTTCGGATTCATTTAATAAAAACTGCGATAAACGCTTTAATAAAACACTATGAATCAAAAAAATATTCTGGATTTCCTGCTAACCCCCCCAACCCGCTAAAATTCTAGTACGAATGAAGAAAAAAAGCGCTGAAAGCAACATAATTTTAGCTATCGGTCGCTCGCTCTCTCTCTCTCCCGCACTCCTTGTTTCTCTCTCTCTATCTCTCTCTCTCTCTCTCTCTCTCTCTCTTTCGCTCGCACTCTTTCTCTCTCTGTCTCTCAATGAATGCCTTAATAAATACCTAATCTCTAAGGCTAAAAAGAGTCTTTTTAAAAAAGGGCTGCTTTTGGTTTTCGCAAAAAGAGAGGAATTCTCGTGGCAACAAAAAGAGCTAAATTCCTTTAAAACTCTTACAAATGCCACAAAATGCGGGAACAACAAAAAGTTGCTGGCTATTTAAAACCTTAATAAACTCGGTACCATCCCAGATCACAGGTCAGGTCCACAGATTAATTTCAAGAAAGTGCAAATAGATCATAATACAGAAATTATTTGCAAGCCGAAACCGCTAGAAACTAGATCTGTCCATTTTAATAAGGTGCCAGCAACTTTTGGTTGATCCCACATTTTGTGGCATTTTTAAGAGTTTTAAAGGAATTTAGCTCTTTTTGTTGCCAACGAGAATCTCTCTTTTGCGAAAACCAAAAGCAGCCCTTTTTTAAAAAGACTCTTTTTAGCCTTAGAGAGAATTTAGCCCTTTTTGCCTCAATCTTATTGCTAAGATCGTAAAATAAGCCAAGGAATACTTATTCAGATGAACCCTTGTACGCAAAACTTCAAAAAAATTTGCCTGCGGCGCTTTGTGAAGGCACCAGAAACCATCAGGAAGCACGGGGCCCAATCGGCAAAAACCAGGACTTTGGGCGGGGTTCGAACTCGGGAGCCAAGTCTTCCAGTACAGCGTGCTAACCACTAGGCCAACGGGGAGACTGGAGGCCTCTCTTGGGGAAGCTAGACCCGCCCGCCCTGACTCGGGACTGGGGCCGCCAAAGGGGAGGGTGGCGCCCCGTATGGCAAAGGTTTAAAGTTATATTATCTCAGAGAAGAAGCATTCTTTCGATGCAGTTTCTTCTTTACTTATTCCGGCATGGTTTAATGCATATTTGAGCAAAATTTCAGCCCAAACGGACATCACTAACCCTTGTTTTGGCCGCAATTTAGCTTCTAAACTTAAAAATTAAATAGAAATTTTTTAAAAGCCTATTTTGAAAAAAACTCTTCTTGCGGTCCGAGATTATCACTCACCCAATAACTGTGCAAAATTTCAGCCCAAACGGATGGTGGGAAGGCACTTTTTGACGACTACAAAGGTTTTGCGTACATACACACACACATACATACAAACGCAGACCCCCCCCCCTCGAAACGCAATTTAAATCGGCTGTTAAAATTCTAAATTTAACTTTTTTTCAAATTTTAAAAGCTTATAGTATGTAAAAAGTGTCGCCGGTTCCGATGGTGTATTCAGTTTTGCGATTGGATGCGTCGTTCTTTTTTAAATCCGGAAAAGGACCTCAAAAGAGTCGTATGGGGGGGTACCTCAAACCAAAAGGGGTTAGCGGGCTACGCCCGCTAACCCCGAAATCCGCTATCGTCATAATTATGCCCTTTCCGCTCGTTCGTAATTTGGCGTTTCCTGGAAAATCCATTATTTCGCCCTCTATCCCCATTACATGACGTGTTTTTGGCATTTGGCATGGCCGGGGCTCTTTCGCGTCCGTTTTCCGTTCTCCCCTCTTGCCCGATGATGAGTCAGCTTGGCCGACCATTATTTCGACCGCGCGCTCTGGCCTGTTTGTCTTTTCAGCAATCCCCGGTCTCGCGGTTGAGCCACAAAAAGCACACGGGGCAAATGTGATTCCTACCCCCACGTTTCCTGGCTGATGTTTGGGAATTACTGGTTTTCTTGTTGTTTAGTTCTTACGGAGCTTTAATTTGGCCTGGAGTTATATTTTAAATTTTAAAACATTTATTTTTTCGTTTTTTGCCTTTGCTTATTTTTGCGACAAAATTTTCTGTGCTATGCAATTTACTGCCACGTTGACGTATAAAAAAATTAATTAAACTTCAATAGGAAAGCTAAGAGCATTTTAAAATTTCTCGGAAAAATCTGCTTCCTCCTTTCTTTGGAAATTGCCGGTTTTTCTATTTGTTTTTCCAAGCATGTTCTTTTCTCTTTCGGAGTATCTCCCTTGATCGAAACGATGCCTTGAAGCAGTTGGAGTAGCTGGTCAAGACACTTGCGCTTGAATGCGTCTTTTGGTCTGTGACGTAGCTGTCGAGACCTAGTAGACTCATGGCGTTGATTTTCTCCTTTCCTAATCCCTTTAATTGCTTGAATAGAATGTTGCCGTAAATTCGGCGAAAGAGCAGTACTGATAAGAACCCACCCTTTCACCAATTTGCCTGATTTTTTCCGGAAATTTGTTGCTTTTTCTACAACTTCAATTCCTTAAACTTGCTTTCAAGTTCTTTAATAGCAAGTTCAATCAACAAAAGAAACGATCAAGGACTCAAAAAAGTGCTTTGAAGGCCGCCCACGCTATTTTGAGCCCAACCATGTATTTGGTTCTCAGATTTTCGGCGGGGGCGCCGCATGAAATTTATATTTATCGACTAGACGGCGCTTTCAGTTACAAAATACAAAATTTTTGTAGTATTCAAGTGGTTTTGAAAAACTACATAGATTTTTGCTACTTGGCTTGGCTGCTTTCAGCCCATAATCGAAAATTCTATTGCGAAGCCGTCCGGAAAGCATGAGCAAACCGTTCGTGTAAATCCTTTCCCCGAAAAACCACCCCAATTTCCGGCGGCGCTTCCAGCCTATTGCGTCAAAAACATAGCCTTTTTTCTTATCTTCCAGGAAGGCGGCGGCTTGACCGCCGCCTTCTTCCAATTTCCGACCCGTCCAGGGGGGGGGCGGGCGGGGGGGTCGATTTCGGATTTATTACCGAGTTGCGGTTAGCTACATAGTTGGCCAATTTCACGCATTCAAGAGCTAACCAATTCCAATTTGCGCACCTCAATTCGATAAAGCAAATAATAGAATTTTGCGGGTGAGTGGGAAGGGTTTGCACATAAGTTCCACCATCGCTTTTTGTTGGTTCGGAACGAAAAACGAAAAGCTAAAATATAGTCAGCAGCTTTCGGAACGTACCCCCTTGCTATTATTAATCCGGAAAATAGAATTAAAACATTCCAATTAAATCAAAATCAATTAAAAAAAACTATAGAAATTCCGAGGGCAAAAAAATCCAAATTCGTTGATTTTTCGAGTACTCAAGCCTAAAATTTAATTTCGCCTCTTGATCCTTGGCCCTTTCCTACTACGCGTCACGTTTTAGCTTTTTTTCTTCTTGCAATTTTTCGTTTTTACATCTATTTCTTTTTTTTGTTAATATTTCTTTCTATAGTGTCAATTTCTAGACGTCGTGCCCATGAGCGGCGAGCCGAGCAACCCGGCCCAGCACGAGATTCCGCCCAAGTATGAGTGGTTCCAGGAGCAGATCGCCGGCCATCATCCGTCTGTTGTGAAGAATGGCGTCCGAGAAATTGGTTAGTGAAAACTTTTCCAAATTCTCTCTGCTAGCTAGCCCAGCAAAAAGAAAGATTCCAAAGGAGACTTTGCTAGCTTACCCCGCGCTGTAAAGCTGGCTAAGAAGTTAAAAAAGCTAAAAGATGAAAAACATATAAAAAGACAAGGGATAAAAATCGAAAAATCGAAGTGGTTCGTTTACTCTCTCTCTCTCACACCCACTCTCATTCGCTATATCTCTCACATTCTCTTTTCTCTCTCTCTCTCTCTCTCTCTCTCTCTGTCGCTCGGGTTTCTGCGAAAATCATAATGTCGAAAACCAGAATCCCAAAATGACAGAAGTTAATTTTCCCGAAAAAACCACGATTCGCAAAAAATTACGACATTCTGAATTTCGACATCATGATTTTCAACATTATGCTGGCAAATTCTCTCTAGCTCTCTCACTCTCTCTCTCTCTCTCTCTCTCTCTCTCTCTATCTCTTTCTTTCTCTCTCCCTGTCTCCAGATTCAAACCTTAAGCCGCTAGCTATATCATCAGCCATACCTTGCGAACTTCCACCCACTTGACCCATCCAGGATATCACTCCCAGTTAACCAAATAGACCCCCCAAAAGTTAGTTCAAATATCAAAAGCCATGCCGTCACCCAAAACGGGATAATGGGCGTTTTTGTTGGTGGCGGGCACTTGACGTGGGGCCAAGTGGGTGCGCCTTATTCTCAGCTATCCTCATTTGCATACGGTCTCGCCGGATGTGGCGTACAGGTGGTAATCCTCTGGCAAATATGGCCTGGGGGCAGCGGGAACACGTCAAGTATCTTCCATCCTAGCATTCGAGTACATAATTTGGGGGTTGACTGGAATGTCATGAAAATGAAACGTAATTAGGGTAGCTGAACGAAGACGCTTAAAAAATTTCTTTGAATGCACAAAATCTGCTTTTTAAAGGGATTGAGAAGGCAGAGAGGTTAAAAAATCTGTAGATTTCACATACAGACGTGCAAAAAGGAATTTTTGGAATAGAAAATCTTCTAGTACTCCGTGTTTGGCCGGATTCTAAAACTAGCTACGTTTTTTCTATGTTTCATCTCTCGCTCTCTCTAGCTCTAACTCTATCTCCCTCACTCTCTCTCTCTCTCTCTTTCTCTCTCTCGCTCGAGCTCTCTCTCACTTTCTCTCTCACTTTTCTCTCTCTCTCACTCTCTCTTCTCTCTAGTTTAGTTTAAAACCGAGAACAGATGCCAATTTTGAAAACCCTCTCCCATTCATCAATATTTACCCATCCACCCACCCACACAAAACTGCTATGGAGCCACTCCCAGCTTTTGCATTCAGCTGTGCCAATATGGGCAACAAAAGCTTGGTTTCGCTTCCTATCGCTGTCTCTCTCTCTGTCTCCCTCTCTCTCTCGCCCTAAAACCAAATGGGTGCCATTTAGCCGGGGGCAATGTTTGGGAAAGGGTGTGGCGCTGGGGTCGAGGTTACGGTGGTGCAACGGGGAAAAGGGACCGGCAGAAATTGGATGGAAATTGAGCCCAAAAAATCCCAAAAAAAAAAATCGACCCCCCTCTAGCGGGCCGCAGTCATGTCCGATTTTGACGATTTAGATATCTATCGAAAGCACTCGAAAAGGCGAGAAAACAAGCACTTTTCGTTTTTCAATATGGGAATTTTAATTCATTAAATTTAGGGCCAAAATCGATGAAAACTGCAGATTTTATGTAAAATCGGCATGTTAATTGCTTGCTAAAGCAAACAGGACGATGCTGGTTTTACGCTTTTTACAGAAATCATTGAATATCGAGCGAAGGCTAAAATTTTTTGGAAAACCAAAGGCGCTTGTTTTCTCACCGTTTGAAGGGCTTTCGAATGGTGTGAAAATCATTCCGATCCGAGCTTTCTGCGGTCCGCTAGAGGGGGGTCGATTTTTTTTGGGACACCCTGTACTTTCCTTAATGAAGGGATCGAAGGGCATGAATACTAAAAGAAATATTTTAGGTTTTCTGAAAGAGAAGGGCTCCGAATTCATCCTGAAACTGCGACAATCCGGGAAGCGCGGAGATTGCGAGGTAAAATGCAAATCTTAACTTAATGATTTTTCGACACTACAGTATTGCTTTTTAAATTGAAGCCATAAGCTTATAAAAATACACATCATGGGACCTTCCGTTGCCCTGAAAAACCCTGAAGAGGTCCTTTGACGCTACAGTACCCCGTTCAACAATCGAATCTCTCAAGTCCAATTAGCGCTAGTTTTGCATGTTTCATTTTATCTAGGCAATGTTTGAGATTTTTGTTTTCAAGCTGTAGTAACCAATTGATGCGCCAAACTACTGTCCCAAAATCAGCGATTTTTGAACCGTATCCTACCTACCGTAACCCCATAACCTAGTAACTTGAGCTTCCAGCCCACCCGGCGCATGTTCCCACCAAGAGTTGCGCATCGGAAAAGTGTGGCGCATCTCCTCGTATTAGTTTGGCCCTAATAGACGGTAATTGGGAATGGGTGTTGTGCAACTGCTTCCCCGGGGTTACGGTATCCCGCGTGCCTAATTGGCACCCGCGGGCTGGCAGATCCGATCAAAAGTTTGGGCAGGCTGTTAGGGGTGGATTTGAATATTCGACTGGTGGTCAAGGCCGGGATCTAGAATTTGGCATGGAGATTTTTAGGGACGGCCTTAATAGTAACCTAAAAAAAACATAATATTTCTGCGAGATATCGTAGCTAGGAAGTTTTGTTCGAAATGTCGAATCGGCTAGATCGTAGAAAAATGGCGTCTAAATCTCCGAGTTTCCGAAATTAGGTGCTTTTGTATTATCGGGGGGAGTCGGGCTCAGGAAAACTCTTTTTTGCTTTAGTATCTAATTTTTCTAGCGGAAAGAGGCGGCGTTATTACGGTATTTTTTAACACAGTAAACTCAAAAGCTTCGCAAGTCGAAGTAAAAAAATCTACCTTTACCAAAATCGAACGATTTCCGATCCAAATTCTATTTAAAACGTTTTTCGGTAGTTTTTCACGCGTAAAGTTTGCAAACTATTGCAATATTTACTATTAGATTACTAGGCATTTGTGGACTTTTACAAACAATAAAATTGTGTTCAATCGACGCATTTTTATCTTTTAAATTCAAAGTTATCCAGATCGGATTACGGTAGCTACCAGCTAGCTACGCTAGCAACTTACCGTAGTCCTCGCGCTTATCTCCCCATTCTCCATATCATTCCCAAATGATCTCCGCTAATCACCCGAAAGGTCAAAATTTGGAACCTAATCTTCTGGATGATCCGGGAGCAAGGCCACTTGTCCTCGTCCTCAGCCCAAGTCAAGACATCGGAAGTGGGTGACACGACCCGGCCGGGGGCGGTTACGCAACGTGCTATCTGTACCTTCTTGTCTTCCTTCTGTCTGTTTTCTGACTGTCTGTCTTGCTGTCTGTCTGTCTGTCCGCCAGGATATCACACTTCCACGCTCTAACTCCCTTGCTAAAGACTCTCCCAGGGCATGTGTCCCCTTGGGTTGCGCAAGACCACCCACCCATCCACCGTATGATTGGGCAACCCTCGAAAATAAGGGGGGTGTTGATAGGAAAGTTTTGGAATCGAGGCAGGGACCGGCCTTAAAGGGATACCCAACCTTTTCGAGGCTCAAAAAGCAAAAACCAGGACGCGGGCGGGGGTCGAACCCGGAAGGCCTGGAAGCTATCCATTAGGCCATAGAGGCAAGCCATTGCTTGGGATGGGGACGCCACAAGACTCTTGTGTGAATTGTTTAAATTTTAAAGAACAAATTTTATTTGATGTCTCAGTGGTTACAAGTTCGAAACTTTCCAAATACCGGAAAAACTAGAACTAACTAGAACTAGCACCCGATGGACAGAATTTCTGTAGAAATATTTTTCTGTGCTAAATTACGTTGGAAAACCTCCTCCAGAGAGTGTCTAGAGGAACTCGTGAAATCTGCTGTAATTGGGTTTTAGTAAGGCCCACTTCTAATGGTATGTGGTACCAGAAAAAAACCGTCTTTTTGGGCCAGAAAATATGAGCGTATTTAAGGCAATTGCGGAATTTTAGCACGGGACCGGCTTTAAAATCAGTTTTTACCTTCATTAGGGGACCAGATAAACCTTAAATGGTTAAAAAAATACTCAGGGCAGACCCAATATAGCTTTTTCCGCTATTACGCGCTCCGTCGGGTTACAACAATTACCGAAATTTACTTCAAAAACCTTTTTTTCAGTTTTCCGGAAGATGCTCTTGCAATTAACCAAGAATAATAAAAAGATTTGAAGAAAAGAGGGAATTTGAATAATCAAAAAATGGATAATTAATTTTCTAGCTACTGTATTTCGCTGAGATCTATCGAAAAGAATACCAATCAGGACCTCCTTTCAGATCCGCTTCTACCAGCTCCTCAACCGAACGTTTTCGGATGACTACGACCCGCTGGAAGACAACGGAGAGCCGTTTCCCTGTGATAGGTATTTAGCCTCGGCCATTTTCTACTCATTAGCGTTAAAAATACAAAAGCTAAATACGGTTAGAACAATGCACTAATTAAATTAATTAAATCCATTTTAGCATCACCAATCAAGAAGAAATCAACTTGGCGCGGTTCATCGCCGATGGCGGCGTGCCCAGATTTTACGGGTTGAAGCAGGTCCCGATCGGCGGGCAGGATCATGTAAATATTGAGAAAATCATGATAAAATTATCAAACTAGATATTTAAAGCTATAGTTTGTTAACTCATGGAATTGAAAAACTTATAGCAGAAAAAGCAACGAAAATTCCTTACAAAAATTTAAAATTACGAAAAATCCGCCCAAATTATCGCGTTTCCAGAGTTAGTCAAAATTTAATAAAATTTTTAGTGAATTTTAGCATTAGAATTCCTAAAATACATTTAGGAATTCCTGATTCTCGACGATCTAACCTTCGGCTACACCCGGCCAGCGATTATGGATATCAAAATGGGTCGTGTCACCTACGATCCGGACGCTAGCGAGAAAAAGGTATAAAAACTCGATTTCTATGCCTTATTGCTTGTCTCCTGTTTTTAAAACATCATTTATTACCAAAAAAACCAATTTCTACTAAAAAAATTTGACTCAAAACTTCAGATCAAATCCGAGACCGAAAAATACCCGCCCCAGCGATCGCTTGGCTTCCGGATTCTCGGCTACCGGGTGGGTTTTGGTAAAGATCAAGTAATTACCTTACTTTTCTGAAGGAAGTAATGTATTTCTTTTAGCTTCACAAAGAAGACGGGACGGTGGAGATCAAGGACAGGGATTGGGGGAAGAGCAAGGACGAGACGAACATCGGCCAGGCTCTTTACGAATTCTTCCAATGCCGCCCGGAAGCCGTGCCGCATATTTTGAGAAAGTGAGTCTAAAAATACTAGAACTTATGTACAATAAAATAAAAAACTGTTTTTAATAGAAAAACCCAGAAGAAGAAAATGTATTTTATAAACTTAGGAAGGAAAACTTCGAAAAAGCGGCCGAAAGGTCACAAAATAAATTCTAAAGCTTTTTTTATTGAAAACCGTACGCTTAAAAAAATTAAATGGTGAAAAACGTGGCAAAAAGCTGCAGCGTGTTAATAAGTTACTTTTTGCCTTATTTGTATAAAATCTTATATTCATTAATTCAGAGCCACCCTCTTCCGCGAATGGTTCGCCCAGCAGCGCATCTTCCACTTTTTCGCCTCGTCGTTGCTGTTCATCTTCGAAACCGACCCCGCGCAACCGGTCAACCCGGACGTGAGGATGATTGGTAAGGGAAAATTGAACGGAAATTGATTCTCGGCTTTTTTGAAATATTTTGCCAAAGATATTACGCGACAAACAGCAATTTTAGCGTGTGTCTGCAAAATTCCGACTGACGCCTAGCCTATATTTAAAGAAAATTCGGATCAAATAAAACTAAAAAGATGGTAACGAGAAACGAAATACCTCTCAAACATATCCAAAATTCATTAAATATATGCGCGATTTAACTCTAGCATAAATTTCCAGATTTCGGTCACGTCTACCCTGCCAACGAGATGGTCGACGAGAACTACACGCACGGGCTCGACAACCTGATCTCGCTGTTCGAGGAAATGCTCCTGAAATCGCAATAATTTATTTTTGATTTTAATTATAACCTAAACCCTTTAATATTTTCCGATAACGGATCTCTTTAACTTTATTACATTGCACCGAAAATGTTATCTAAAAGTACTCTCGCCTCTTGCCAAGCTACTTACAAAAAAGCATCCCCCATTCCACGTCTCCACTGTTGTGTTCACTTTGCAAAAAACATGTGATTTTTATACCGAAATATATCTAGACTGAGGATTTAGGGGTCTATCCTGAGAATTTCAGCAAGGAGTGATCTTTTAAGACTTTCACTTGCCACCACATTCTTATAATTTTAAGCGATCCCCGCGTTTAATCCACATGGTTGTGGTTCTGAATAAATTTATTCTTTAACTGTGACGCAAAAAAGACAGAGTAGACCCTTTCTGGAAAATTTTTAGAGTTGAAAAGCGCATTGAAGTTTCTTTCCCAATTTCTGAAAGCGCTCAAACTGAAACACAAAGCTCGTTTAGTCAACGTTTCGGTTCTAAATAACTTTATTCTGAAAGTTTTTAAACTAGAAGCGGTGAAAAGCCTTGTTTTAAAATGATAATGCACAATTGGCGCCGTAAAACCGGTTAGCGAGCCTACAATGAAATGTGCAGCACTTCCTTAAAACCCGCTAAAACATCAGCAACAACTTCACCTTCCTTGTATAGTTGACCGGAAACCATCGATCCGTTCAACTTCCTGTAGATTCCCTCAACCTCCCCCTTTTCAAACGCAAAAACCTCGGTCACACGCGAGACCCGCCCAAGTACGTGAAGATCTTTATCGAGGGGAGGCCGTTCGCTTCTCCGTTCCCCCAATATGGACGAGTCAATTATTAATATTGTTGGTGATCGCCTGATCGTGATGTACACATTGATCCTACTCCCTTTCGTCAGCCTTTGGATTTTATATTATCGATTGAAAAGCTCCACATCGTCAAAAGTAAGTGTAGACGCTATTGCTTACGATTCCTACTTCCCTAGCTATTTTCAACACAACCCGGTCTGATGGAAGTCCCAAATTCTAACGGCACCCGGAAGCTACGCCCATACAACCTTGATCTCAGCCGAATCGGCAACCGCTTGCAATAAATAGTAAAACCCAGTGATGCATGCATACCATACCGTGCGCGTGGATCTTGACAACGTTTTATTAATGAAAAATTTTGAATAAAAGATGAGATCGTCTCGGTAAATACAAAATGTATTGCAACGTAAAAAGTTGAAATAGAGGGCGATAGGCACGTAGCATGGAATCGGGGGACGGGGCAATTGTAAATAGTGAATGTATGGGGGCAAAAAGAAGGGGTCGGCAGTGGGTTGGTGTAGCTGTACGTGCTGGGCACGCTGGAGATTTAGGCCTGCGACGGCTTCTGGCCCGGGGCGGCTCCGCCAGGAGCGGGCTGTTGTCCCTTCTTGGACATCAGGTAACGATGGATGTGCGGGATGACACCTAAAAGAGGAAATTAGTATGAAGCAACAGGGTGAAAGCGCAACACCAAAAACTATAAACGTTACCTCCGCCGGCGATGGTGGCCTTGATCAACGTGTCGAGCTCTTCGTCTCCACGGATGGCGAGATGGAGATGGCGGGGGGTGATACGCTTCACCTTCAGATCCTTCGAGGCGTTACCGGCCAACTCGAGCACCTCGGCGGTCAGGTATTCCAGGATGGCAGCACTAAAAAGGGAGATTAGAACGAAGCAAAAGCAGAAATGGGCCTAACTGAAGCCAAATTTTCTAGGCAAGAACAAAAGCCGCTGACAAAAAATCAAGGAAATAAATCAGTACCTGTAGACAGCAGCGGTGGCTCCGACACGTCCCGAGCTGGTGGTCTTCTGCTTCAGGAAGCGGTGGATACGCCCGACGGGGAACTGGAGTCCGGCGCGTGCGGAGCGCGAGATCACCTTCGACTTGGCCTTGCCCGAATCCTTGCCGGCCTTTCCTTTGCCTCCAGCCATTTTGTTTCTGAAAATTGAAAGGTTAAAAAACTTTGCATGTTCAGTGAAATGAAAATATGTTTCGAAAAAAGTGGCCGAAAGCCAAACAATTGAGGTAGTTAGCTCGCCAAAAAAAGCAACAACTGATTGGATCGCTTGTTGGGAGGTGTCGGGACGCGCCAGAGGTGCGTGACCCCTGGGCTGCCCAACGCCCCGCCCTATTCAAATCCCAGGCCGCGGGCAAAGAAATGGCGGGAAGGTAATCAGAACGGCGCGCATTAGAGGGATAACAGATCGCTGATGCGATAATCATAGGATTAGTGCGTTAAGAGTTTGTAAAACTTTTTGAGCGGGATTATAATCAGGAAAAAGGCAGAGATTCTTGCAAATTAGAAAGTAGCATCGCGAACGCACAAAAAGCTTCGGATGCGCTTCTAAAAATTCCTCGGAAAGACAGACCACCACCCGGTTACGGTATTTCCGCTGCGAGAATTCACTACACATGACAACAAATTTCGGATTTTGTCGCACCGGAGCGGCGCGTGGCCCTGGAATTTTGTCAACTTTTACGAACACTAGGATTTTTCAATTTTCGTGGTTTTCAAAAAGTAAAAAAATCTAACTTCGTTATTTCCACTCCAAATCGCAAAGAAATAACAAAACACCTGTTTCGAAATTTTCATTTGAAAGAAAAGTCGTGGCCTTTCGATTAGACTAAAATAAAAGTGAGGCGATTTCCGGAATTTGCGAATTTCGAGTGACGAAAGTTGCAACATTTTCGAAAAATGACGAGCCGCTACAATGGCTATTGGTTTGGCGCGCTTTTCCGACGTAACACCACGCCGTTGGCTGCTAGCCAGCCCCTCCCCATTCCTATGACAACCGCCGGGGTACGGTTGGGCGAGGCAAGGGCACGCTATAGCCGGTGACGGCCGGCCGGATTTTGAGGGAAAAGAGTCCGCGGTTGCGAAAAACTCAAGGTCAACGGGGATTTTCAAAGGGCATTTCGGAAATTAGCAATCTTAATTAATTTAGCAAAGGTAAATGCGTGGTTCTTTTGGATAATTAGCTTACTCTAGTGATTCTACAATTTTCAGTTAATTTTTTCAACTTTTTTTGTTCTATCTTTGATTTCAGCAAAAAAAATCTATGCATCAAAAGAAAGTAGGATTTACGAAATCGTGAAGAATGCGGTCAACTTGTTTAGTGTGATAGCTTAGTATCTTGATATGGCCATCGTACCGGTTTTCCAGCTTAAATTCTTTCAATCTTGCTCTCTTTTTCCTGCGTCTTCGTTCCCCAAATTATGAATTTCTTCCCTTTTCAGGATGGCCTCCTCACGCGGCAGGCAAGCCCGCGGGTTCGGCAGCGCCGGCAACGACAGCACGTCCGCCTCGCTCTTCGACGCCGTTTTCTCGAAACCGTAAGGATCACGGCTTGTTTTTGATACAATTTTGTTCTCCAGACCTCCAAGACGCGCGCCCCGTCCGTTTCCGGTTGATGAGGACAATGCACTGCCCTCGGTCGTCTCGGATGCTCCGTCTTCATCAGCTTCTTCCAATCCGCCGGGTAGGAATTCCCGAGTAGCTTTGATTTATGTTGCTTTTTTCAGCAGAGCAGAAAATGATGTCCCCGCCGGTTAGCTTGCCGGAATCCACGTCGACGGATGGAGGCGATATGAACATTGACAATGTGAGTTTGTTGGATTTTTCAGTTTATTATTACTTTTTCAGTCCCCGGCTTCCGGATCCGGTGATGCTTCTGATGATGACGTGACGATGGACGGGGAGGAGGTGAAAGCACGCCCTGGAAAACACCCCCGGGTCGACGACTTCGATTTCGGCGAAGACGAGGAGGAAATCGTGCAACCACCCGCTCCGAAACGTGCAAAATCGCCCGAAGGTGAAAATTAAAAAATTGAAACCCGGTTTCATAGACGTGGGAAGCATTCGTTAAAACAACGGAAAATCGTTTAAATTTTGATTTGTTGCCCAAAAAAAGCGCGTCGGGACCGCAGGATCGCAAAGTTCTTTTTGGTTTAATAAAACTATTGAAGCTTTTCACTATCGAAAAATAGCAAAATAGTATTAAAACAAATGAAATTAAAAGAGCCAGTAATTTATTAATTCTTTTTAGAACCAGCGCTCGCTCGCATTTTGCCGAAAAAAGAAGCACGCCCAGTCTACCGTCACGTGTGGTCGGCTGGCGACGGCTCAGATGAAGAAGCTGAAAAGCCCGTCGAGACTTCGCGCCAGCAACCGGCTCCGGTGCCAACGACTGCTCCGACCGGATTATTCGGAAGGGTAGGATCATGGTTTTTGACTGATTTTATTCTTGTGTGCTTTCCAGACAGCTGTCCCAATCTACAAACAACGCGTGCGAAACGTCAAAGACGCGCATCAATGCCTGGAGATCGGAGAGCAGGATCACTACAAGCAAGATCTCACCTACATCCTCACTTCGTTGGGCGACCCCAAGGCCACTGTGAATACGAAATGTTTGAGGTGAGCAATTTGATGTTTTTTTTTGCGAACGCGTGCTCTCGTAGTTTACTTTACGTTCGTGTATAAAACGTATAGAATAATATTTTTACCTTAAAAAGTATAATTTTTCAGCGCCATCTCACTCGCCAAGAAATGCACAGCCTCCGATTTCCGCCAATTCATCCGAACGAAGGGGCTGATCGGCTCGATTTTCCGCGCCCTACTTGATGCGCCGTCAGATCCGGTAAATTTTATATAATTTTAAATTCCGGTAAACTCACGACATTAAAAGTCGCATTTTTTAACCAAGACTTGCAACAAACTGAAGTTTTAGAACTTTGCCCTCTGCGCGGCCACGCTCGTCTATCTGATGTGCCGGGACCAGATTTCCGTGAAAGTCGATGCAAACACGCTGCGCTTGATGGTCTCGCTGCTCAAAATCGAGCAAGTGCCCCGCGATGCGACGAACGCCAAGTACCACGCACAGGTAAATAATTATTATTTTTTGTGAATTTTCACGACTTTCGTCAGTTTGCTTTCTGATTTTCAAGACTCCTAAACTTGAATACTTTCTTGAAAAATTCTCGTTTAGATCTGCGACATCTTCAAGACGTACGTGAAAAATAACGAGCTCGCCGGCCAGAAGATGGTCTTCAACTTTGACGATAACGAGATCACGGTATCGTTTTTTCATCATTTTTTTTATGATTTTTTTAGCCCTCGAGCCTGACCCTTGAAGCGCTCGTCTACGCGTTGGCCCGAAACAGCGAAGAGGCCGTGAAAACCGAGCTGCTGAACCTCGGGACGATGCAGTGGCTCGTGGCAACTGGTTAGTGGTTTTTGTGCGCATAAAAATTGTAATTTTAGTCGAGAAGCTCGTCAGGCGCATCTCCGGCGAAGAGCTCTCGGACGCGGCCGCTCAGAAGCTTCTCCAGCCGCTGGAGCGTTGTTTCCGCATCCTGGAGACGGTACGACAAAAAATTTGGCGTTTTCAAGATTGATTTTTAGTGCACCGTCCACCACAAGAAGAACCAGGCCTTCCTGGTCAGCCATCGCGGTTCGGTGCTGCTACATGCATGCGCAAAGTGAGCTTTAATTTTTGTGTAGTTGAAGATTTTTGTATTTAAAAAGATCTACAAATTTATTTAATTTCACTTTCTTTAGATTCCTCGAATACCAGCACAAAGTCATCGCCAGCCACCCGCCAAATTCCGAGTTCACCACGTCGCAGATTGGCTACCTCACGATTCTGGCGCGCGTGTTGATGAATTTGAGTCACGAGAACGGTAAGCAAAAGGGCTGTAATTTTCGATTTTTTTGCTTTTAGAACTCTGCTGCACGAAACTCGGCCAAATCGAGGGCTTCCTCCAGCGCTGCCTCATCTCCTTCACCTACCTCGCCCCCAAATTCGCCTCCGAGGAGAAGAAATTTGACGTCCACGTCATGGTATGATTTTGATTATGATATTTTTGAAAATGTTGAAGAATTTTTAGTTCTCGAGCTTCGTTTAAACTGTTAAAACGAATTCTGTAATTCTTGAAACCTAAATTTTAAAGATTCATTCATTTTTAGATGCCGTCCCTCCTCGTCAACCTCGTCGAGCGCTGCGCCTCCAATCGGCGCAAGATCATCGCCAACAAGGTCGAAATCTTCGATGTCGTCGCCAAGACCGAGTGCGAGCTGCCCGTTCTGGAGGCGCTGACAAAGGTAATTACTATTTTTCTGGTTCTTGTGCAATTTCGGGGGTGGCAACCCCTTTTTCCTTGGGATACACTTTTCATTATGGCCAGTGCAAGGTTTTTATACTTTTTTTTTGCGATATCAGCGTGAAAACTGAGTTTATTGAACAAAATTATTTTTTGTACTTGTAAAGTTATTAAATTTTTCTTTTTATCGATTTCAAAAAATTCGATGATTTTGAAGGCATTTTCGGTTCACAATATGTGCTTTTATTAAAAACCATTAGGAGTTTTGGCACGTATTTGTTATCAAACCGCTGATTTTCAGTCCAAATTTTTACAAATTTCCATTTTTTTCAGTTGTTCCTGGCGCACGAGGAGGCGGCAAAAGCCGTCGACGAGGATCTCGACAACGATCTGATGATGGAGGAGCCGGACGTGAACGAGGAAGAGCCCGACGAAGACGAGGATGGCGCCCGAACCGACGGCCGCCTCGACCGAAACCAGCTGGAGGACATGACCGAGCACGAGATGCTGCAGCACGTCGAGGTGGCGATGAACAAGGCGTCGGCCCATATGGAAGACAGCGTCATCGCCTCCTACATGGCCCTGCTTGTTGGCTGTTTGTTGCAACAGAATGAGGTATAAAATTTGATTTTTAGCGTAATTAAATTTGCTTTTCTAGGACGCCGCAGCCCGCGTGCGCGAAATGCTGCCGAACGGCCGCCTCGACTCGATGATCGAGCAGCTCAATCGATTCCTGGAATTTATGAAGATTGTGGTACGTTTTTGCCTAGTAAATGAAGTATGCCTAGTATTTTTTAAATGTAAGAATTTAGAATCTGGAAATTTCGTACGGGTTTAATTTTTGTCTTAGCCGGGGGTTCACGAAAGACTTGTTTGTGGCAAATGTCGGTGTTTTTGTAATTTAGAAAGTTGGCCGTGATAAACAGAAGATTTTGAGACGTAGGCTTTATGAAAATTCGGCATTTCGAAATTTTGAAATTTAGACGTACGTTATGAAAATTCGGCATTTCGAAATTTCGACGTTATGCAGAATTCGGTATTTTGAAATTTCCGACGTTATGAAACTTCGGCATACGGAAATCTTATCATCAAATTTCGGCATTACAAATTTAGTCTTTCTAAATTTCGAAATGATCAATTTCGGCCATATGAAATTACTAATTTCGACAATATCAAATCTATATTTTTTTCAGAGTACGAAAAAGAGCAGCCACTCGATCGGGAAGATCGTCGAGTACATGGAGCGCATGAATGCCGAATGATCGCCCGAATTTTCGCCGCAATTTTGTCAATTACTTGTTGTTGCCCTGCCCCACCCACTGAAACATGCTTTTCCATACCCCAAAGATCTCACCATTCCCCCGCTAACACCCCCAGTTGTTGTTGTTGGCTTTATACCGTACCCGTTGCCTGCCCACTTTACATCTATAACCCGTGATACTCGACGTACACCCCTACACCTCTACAACGGTCTAACCAAAATCTTGTCAACTAGTTTGCGCGAGTCCGCGCCACTTTCTCACCCCAGTGCTACGAGTGATTCACTTTGAACTGATTGCGGTTCTTTGGCGTTTCCGGGGGGGGGGGGGATTTTCCTAGACGTCCAGATACTTCCAGTAAAGTCAGAAAATATCTTTTTGGTTTTTTTTTGGCCGAATTTAGCTGTATTTCAAGTAGAAAAACGCTTCGAAGACCCGGAATGTTCGTAAAACTCGAATTTTGTCGAATTGAATTCAAGGTTTAGAATTGAGGATTCAGGTGATAATGTAATAGAACACTTAAAATTTTTGAAACTTCCAATAATTAAATTTTGTTTAGCTATATTTGAAATGGAAACATTTGGAAAACTTGGAAAAGCTCGATAATTTTAAATTTAGGTAAATATGTTTTTTGCGTTTAGGGCGAGTAAAAATATTTGAAAACACTCCCGTTTTTGTATCACAAAATTGGATCTGAGAAAAACAAAGTTTAGTCCCCCCCGGAAATGCCAAAGAACCCATATTTCCCCCTCAAATTCTGCCCAAAAATAGATTCGTGTCCCATCCTTTATTTTCATTACGCAATCTCCTAGCCCCCTTTCATTAAACTTACTAACATGCCCCGATGTGCCAAATTGGTTTGCCCTTCCTTCCTTCCTTTCCTCATCGTCAATTTTTGATGATCATGCGATTGCTTCACAGTTTGTGCTTCCCCCCGTCTTGCTCGTCCCTGGGTAACCAATGAATATACATTAGCTCAAAATTGTGTATAGCATTACATTACAAAATTACACGAAAATCAGTTTTTAGGTGCCGATTTCCTCGATTGATCGAAAGAGGCCGGCTTTTATGAAATACGGTGTCATGTTAAAAATTCGAGAATTTTCTTTCCTAATCTTTATTTTATAGGCGTCAAATTGTTTGAGCTCATGTCGATCACAGTTTTCCGCCTCACTTGGAAGCTTTTCGTAAATAGCTGAATGTACAGTGTGCGCAGCTCGCGAAATCGCCAGATGTAGATGGCAAAGTTGGCGAAAGCCTGGAAAAGCCGGGCTTTTAGAATAAGCGTTTTCCGCTTGCCTTGCCCAGCACCACGCAGCTCAATATCAACCGGAAATCGCCGCCCAGCGTTCTTCTTGGGATCGCTGCAGTGATGATGTCAGGGACCATCATGAATATCACTGCCGCTAGGGTCGTCATTGCTGAAAAAACTTGTTAGATAAGATAACTTTTAAGGTATCTTAAATGCCTTCTATTGTATGAATTATTTTTTGTGGTTTTCGAAACTAAACAGCCCAATTTGAAGGTTTTTGAGGTATTTTTACGTAGTAAAAACCATTTTTAAACCTTTTATTAGTTTGAGAGCTTCAAGAAATTGTCGTTTTCACGAGAAAAACCGACCTTTCGTGTATTTTTTAGCGTAAAACTTACCTAGCGTTAAATGTATGGCCAAGTGGTTGCTCTGTTGTCGTCCGTTTAGATTTCGATGCCGCACCGTTCGCTGAAATTTTTTCATAGTTTTATTTTTTTAAAATGTATTTTAAGTTTAAAAAACAGATGTTTTTAAGAAATCGAGTGCGTGAACTAATATTTCGAAATTTTTCAAATTTTATGAAAACTAAACTTTAAAAGCTGTTTTACTCACCCGCCACAACAAGAACCCAATAACCATGTAGATCGGGATCGTAGCCGCCGTACTCACGAGCCGATGATAAGTGAAGAATGGGTCGAGGACCGGATGTGGGAAGGAGTAGTAAGGGCAGGTCGCCGAAATGACCTCTTCACTCGTATAATTCAAGATACAGTTGAGCACGTAGAAAAAGATGGCTACGAGGAAAGGCACTGAAAAAAGCTCATGAAAAGCTTTTAACAAGCTTTTTTGCGTATCAAAAATAAATTTAGCTAAGAAGTAAACACAAAACTTTTATAACCCATTATTAAAAATACAAAAACATGAATTTCCGACCAAAACGGCCGATTTTCGGACAATTTGCATTTTTCAAAGCGCTGTGCCGTATTTCGATGATTTACGCTGCAAATATAGTTAAATTTTACTAACACACGATTAAAATACTTTCTATTATGCTACTAGGCATTTTTTAGATGGTAGAGGAATAAAATCAGGCACCCCCGGAAATCGATACCTTTCCAATTTTCTCCAAGAGCTCTGTTCCTCCCTCTGTCTCTCTTTCTCTCTCCCTCTCTCTCACTGTCTCTCTCTCTTTCTCTCGCTCTTTCTCACCTGACATTAAAATGACACTCGCCCTCGGGCCAAGCTGGTAGTACTTCGTAGGCCATACGGTAGCTATAAGCCTATCCACAGCTACCGACAAATTAATCGATCCCAGCACTTGCACACTCAAAAACATAAATATACACGTCGGGTGGAAGTTGCAGTCAGAAGCGGGCACCTTCGGTACGGCTGAATTAAAGAAAGCATTAATCTACACGCACTTGTGAGTGACCAGAGGAATTGTAGCCTGGCGGGCGAAAGATATAACGCTCAACATTCATATACCCAAACGATAACGCGTAGAAGATGTCGGCGGCGATGAGGAATAATATAGTAACGTGGTCCTTTCGCTCTTTATATGCTCGTTTTGCGAGGATGGCAATAGCCAACGGGGCCGTGACGATCACGACTAGGGCGCCTGAATTTAAACAAGTTAACTAGGGAATCTGTCAAAATCTCGAAAATCAGAATCTCGAATTTTCTTAATTGCGAATTTTCAGAATCTCTACTGTTCAGAATCACGAAATTTAATAATCTAGAATTTTCAGAATCTCAAATATTCAGAATCTCGAATTTTCAGAATCCCGAATTTCAAAATCCCGAAATTTCCATGGTCTAAATCAGCATTAAAGGCTTCGGAAATTGCATGCCTACGCCCTAAATCCAGCCTAGACATATTTCGAGATTATTAAAATTCGTGATTCAGAAAATTCGATATTCTGATAGGTATTCCAATATTGAAACTGAAAACTGGCGATAAAATTGTCAAAAAAATGTCGGTAAAAAGATAAAATGACATTCTCAATTATGAAGCTCAAAACCTGCCATAAAAATTATCGACAACGTCAGAATTCTAATTTTTAGTATCTTTGCTTGTTCTAGCGTTTAATTAGAAGGCCAAATTGACTAAAATAGCCGCTTACTATAATAATAAAATAAAATTACTATAATTTTTGCAAAAAAATATTTTAAGTGTTGCGACATTTGTGAAAAACTTATGCCTATTTTTAGCAGTACTGCCACATTCTAGTTGAAATCTTGAATTTTTTGAAAATCCTGTTTTATTGCCTACAAGACAATGTACCCGGCGATTCCCAATGGAAAAGCAAAATTTGGTATCCGAAAACAACGCTAATTTCATCCAGCTTTGCACTGTCAAAAATAAACATACGGAACTTCAGCAGAATTAGATTTTTAGCTTTTTTGCGAATTAGTCGAATTCCGCGGTTCCTGTTTCGCTGTTCCGATGGTTTCCGCCCGGAACTACAGTACGGCGTTATGAGGATTGTATCGGAATCGAGGAAATTCGTAGAAAAGGGCCATTTTGGGGGGGTTTTAACAATCACCGGCGTACGGTAGAAGCCTTGAACAAAATTTCAAACTCGACTACGGTAGCCAATGCTACGTAATGACGTAAAGTAGCGTATTTTTGGATCACAGAAATGTCGAAACTTACACTCTGTTAGCATCGTCACCGTCAGAGGTACACTTCTTGTAGACATGGCTGTATTAAGGGCCGACGGTAGCGCAACTGTATTAAATACGGTGGTTTTGTGTCAGCAGGATTACGGTAGTGCGTGGTCAAATACTGTACTGTGATAATCAAAGTACAGAGCGTACCACAATAGTGAAGAAAATTTAGGAAATCAGGGCTTACGGTAGTGAATGGCAGGAACAGTAGTCTGATGCAAAAAGGACTGTAGCGTACGGTAATAACGTGCGCAGTAATACTATACTAGTGAAAATAGCAGTTGAGTTAGCGTAGAGTCAGCTACTGTAGTGCACAGAGTAAAGTCACGTCGTTTTCGGGGCCGTCCGTGGTCAGACGTCCAATGATCAGACTGAAAACAGGGTGGCTGCCCCCGAGATGGCGCTACTGGTCCAATCCCCGCGGGACCGTATTCTATTATCGCCCCCCCTCGCTTTCGCTCCGTGACACACCAACCTGGCGCCCACATGTTTTTTGCCGATTCTTGACGACATTTTCGGGATCAGAAATGGAGGAAGGGCGGGTACATTGAAGGAGCTGTATGGAATCGTTTGGCAAGTACGAGTAGCAGTGTTTCGCATTGATCAGGGTACTGGGCGTTCAGCGGGGGGTGGGTGTAAGAAAAACAACTTTTCTCCAGATACCGTAAGACCCCGTCACGGAATCTGAATAATTTTATAGGTTTTTACGATATGTTAAAAATGTACACAATGTAAAATTTTTTCGAAAAGATGTAATTTTGGACAGAAAACGTTCGGCTTTCGAACCTATTTTCGGTGCTAATGCAGTTAGGGAGGGGCCCTTCGAAATTGGTAGTAAGGGGCTACGAGGCGCTCCGCTTAAGCTACCTGGTTTTTGGCTTAAGCTTGGGCTTAACTTAGCTTTAACTATGCTTAGCCTAGGCTTCTGATTAGGCTTAAGCCCAGCTTACCCTGGGCTCTAAATTGTCCTACGAGGTCAAAATGGAGGCCATTTAGGGGTTAGCTTAGCGCTAACAAGCTTAGCTTGAAAAGAGTCAAGATAAGCTCAAGCTTCGTTTGTATGAAGCTAAGCCCAGGCTTAGGCTTTCTTAGCTTTTCCAGAGGACGCCGGTACAAAAACGGCGTTTGGAGCTTCGTGTAGCCAAAATCCGGACTGCCCCCCAAGTGCCTTAGACCTTATTTTCATATCTATTATAACTTTCTAGCAGTTGAAGCACTAAAATGAAGATATACAGGGTGTCCCAATAAAAAAGGTCACGCTGGCATTTCGCCATTTCAAAACTGTTCGATCTGAAATTTTGAACAGAGCTGCGGAAGGGGAATTTAAAATGTTCACAAAAACTTTCAGCCCGATCGGTATAGTAGTTTTCGAGTTATAACAAAAATACTGTTTTTTCAACACTTTTTCTTCATTTCGCTATCTTTTTGGATTGTGCATCAATTACCATCAATTTCGGCCGTAAATCCCTCATTCTTCTTAACATCGGGGATGATAACACCTTGTTAAAATTACTTAAACAACCTATTTCCAAGACGAATTTTACGTAATAAAAAATTTTCCGGGGTAAAAAAGGGTCGGCGCTTCATTTTTGCCATACATTCCAAGGCTCAATTCCGGCGAAATCCAGGTTAAAAACGTAAAAGCACGTTTATTTTTGCTATAACTCGAAAACTACTGTACCGATCAGGCTGAAAGTTTCTGTGAACATTTTAATTTGCCTTCCGCAGCTCTGTTCCAAATTTCAGGGCGATCGGATTCGAAATGACAAAATGCCAGCATGACCTTTTTTATTGGGACACCCTGTATTATTAACTTTCTTTCGCGTCATATTTCAAGTTTTAATTTCCTTATTTAGGTTCTGTTCTATTTCGCGGGGGGGGGGAAAAAACTGTGCGGGGGGAATTTTCTTCGTTTTGTTATAACTCTTTTACATGATGCTATTTTGAGTTGTAATTAAAACTCTTAGTATATTTTTTGACGCTCTATCGAATGGCATTCAAGAAATTTTTGAAAGTTATCGAAAATGTCGAAAACTAGCTTTCGACTCTACGATCCCATGTGGAAACACCGAATCAACCTTGTTTTTGCTATAACTATTTTATAAAACAGTATTTTTAGATGAAATTAAAACTCTTCGTATATTTTTTGATGCTCTATCGAATGGCGTTGCAAAAATCCCGAGAAATAGCGAAAAGATAGAAGTTTTGGCGAAGCATATTTTCCCCCCGCACAGTTTCCCCCCCCCCCCCGCGAAATAGAACAGAACCCTTATTTAGACTTCCTAATCCTCAAAAAGTTATACCTTGAACCCTGGGACCCCTGTGAGCTGTCCGCTCCGGCCAGCCAGCCCACACACATTTTTGCTACGCCTGAATCTAATAGCAACATGTTAACCCTAATAGATTCGCCGAAAATTGGATTGCGCTGGCCTTTCGGTGCCCAGGTTCACGCGGCGTTCGTCTCGGGTCCCTGCGGGCGTGGGTTTTTCGGTGTTTGATGTTGGTCATCTTGGCGGCGCGTGATAGAATTTACTTTCGGCGAACCTACAGGACATCGAGATCAGAAACTACATTCATCCAATATTTAGAGGTGTATTTTGGACCCAAATAAGCTGTTTCTCTCTCTCTCTCTCTCGCTCCCTCTCTCGCTCTTCTCTCTCTGGCGCACTTTCACAATTTTTAAGAACGATCGCAGTTCCTCGAAGGAAATCAGGGCATCATTTAATTCAGTACTTTAAATGCCGAGATTCAACTTCTTCTGTTGAATACCAATCTCTCTTACCTCACACATCCTTTCCAGTTCTCTCGCTCACTCCTCCCCTCCTCCTCTCTCTCTCTCGCTCTCGCTCTCTCTCTCTCTCTCTCTCTCTCTCTCTCTGTGTAGCTCTACAGGTGCACACGTGGAATTTGGGTATTTTTCTTGGATGAAATGGAATACGGTATTCGCTAATTACAAAGAACATCTGGGACCTAATAGAGTTTTGAAGTGTTTATAGTAATCCCTTGGAGCATTTCCAAGAACTCTGATCCCTAAATTAAGCCGGGGTGAAGCTGATCTTTGCGTACGTGGCCCCCCCGAAATTGCAACTAAACCTCTAAGACCTACTTTCTAGCTTGTAGCCAAAACAACTAATTTGTGGTTTTACTGTGATGTTGTGGTTTAGGAGTGCAATTTTTGGCAATTCCTATCCGATCGGCACTTCAATGAAATGGAAATTTATCCCGAACTTCCCCAAGGTCGCCTCCTTGTTCGATTCTTCATTCAGTTTCGAAACACATAATCTAAAATTTTTTGAAATGTTATCCTACTATATATAAAAAAATAGTGTCTGTGTGTGTGTGTATATTTGCATGCAACTTCCGTAAGTATGTACCGCACCTACAGCCTCAGGGGAAGGTTTTTAAGGTACGTATGATACGTCATTCGGTGCGTAATGGTCCCGAGATGGGTGCACACATATAAAATTGAAGAAAATCGGCTGTTTTCGTTATTAAAATTAAGTTTTTGTAAATATATCGAAAAACCTCTTTGTTAGGAGGCAATTAGCATTGACCGGAAGTGGCCGTAGCCTATAAAAATGGAGGGAGCGTGCGCTTTTCATTTTTTTGGTGAGCGGCATTCGGCAAGCCCTATGTAAAGTCAAATTTTCAGAAGTCCTAGACGGGTCCAGGATTGAAAAGCCGCGAAGCGGTTTTTCAACCCTGGTGATTGATGAATTGATGACCATTTTGCCCACCTACAGTTGTTTTGGAAAAGCAGGGCCCTTTCCTCACCGATTGAAGTGGCGAATAAATGCCCGCAGCCGTGTAGCGGAACATATACGTGCCCTCGTCGCAGACAAATTCATAGTCGCCGGCGTCCTGATGAGGGAGCCATGATTTTGTGAATATTATCGTGCTTTTAGCACTCTTTGATTCCCGAAAAATCACCAAAAATTTATAGAAAACTATAATGTAACATTTTTGACGTTTCGGATCATTTTTCAAACATTTTAGCTTCCACCGCGCCGCGAATTCGTGGTCGCTTGTAAGCTTCGCAGCATAGTTCTCAGGAGGTTTGCATAACGCGCAAAAACCTACATAACCATCCATCGGCAACACAATAGGGCCGCTAGCCGCCTGGACCAGTACGGAACTTCCATCTGGACAAATAGGCTCGAGTTGGTAGCAATCGCCTTGCTGAATGGGGAGCCTTGATTAGCCTCTCTGTCTGTCTGCCACTCGCTCTTTCTCTATCGCTATCTTTCTCTTTCTTGCTCTCTCTATCTCAATATCAATTTAGCTCTCTCTCTCTCTCTCTCTCTCTCTCTCTCTCTCTCTCTCTCTCTCTCTTCCATCTCGCTTTTTCTTTCTCTCTCTCTCTCTCTCTCTCTCTCTCTCTCGCTCCGTATAAATTTTGACTTCTAACCGCTTGCATCCAAGTAATCCGCCGACCCAAGACACTGGCGCATTCGGCTTCCGCTGAAACGCCTTGTTCCCATATCTATCGGCATTACTTACCGACAACCTGCTTTACCGCCTCACAAGTCGTTATTGTAGTGCTCCAAAAGCTACCTCCGTCCATGGTACAACTTGTACAGGCTGCAATTTAAGGGTTTTGAAGCACCAACTATTCCTTACAAGGAGGAGTCGTGGCATTTGTCACGCCCGTCTGGGTCGTAGCTGTTGATTCCCCTGTAATACTTGGGCTAACGACAGTAGGGAGTAAATTCAGGGTTCCAAAAAAATCGACCACCCTCTAGCGGGCCACTGAATTTTTCAATTTTGACGATTTTGGTATCTGTCGAAAGCTCTCGGAAAGGCGAGAAGACAAGCATTTTTCGTTTTTCGCTTACATTTTAATTCGCGAATTTGAAGAGACAAATCCATAAAACGACAGGTTTTCTTCTAAATCTGCTTGTTCATTGCTTGCTAAAGCTATTAACAGCAGGACGCTGACTTTTGAAAAATCGTTTATTATCGAGCTCCGACTGAAAAAATTGTGAAACAAAAAGCTGTTGTTTTCTCGCCGTTTCCAGGCCTTTCGAATAATGTAAAAATCACTCCGATCCTAGCTTTCTTTCTCCGAACCGCTAGAGGCGGGTCGATTTTTTTGGGACACACTTTAGGTATCACTGAGAGGTATGTAACGTTTTCACACGTCTTGAGAGCGACCTACCAGTATTTCTCGAAGTCGGTACGATACCCTTGCATGAAAAGGCTAGTTGCAGTAGTAGCATGCCATAACCAAAGGATAATAGACTATGGCAACCCATCACCATAGCGAGATATTCAGGCACAAGCTTTCGATGTGGCTCAAACCGTTTAGAAATTGGCAGATCATGTGGATGATAAGAATAGGTATTATTGCTGTGGGACCGCCTCCATTCTATTTTTTCAGGTCGTCGTTAAATCACACCCGAACACATTGTTAGAAATTTTGAATTTGAATTGGCCTGGCTGAATTCGCGCGCGTGGGAAACAGCAGAGTAAAATAGGTTTGTATATTGCTAGATCAAAACCTAGGCTCTCTTTCTTTCCCCCTCCCTTTCCCTCCATTTTTCCAGGTGCACAAGTGGAATTTGTCATTTGGGGATTGCCTGGGTTCATGCAGTAAGGTACTCGCTAATTACGAACTCCTTCTGGGATCCACATAGTGGTTTGAAGGAATTCCGACCATCTCGCCGAAAACCATCTCGCCGAAAACCATCTCGCCGAAAACCAACTCGCCGAAAATCTAATTTTGTATGCAACCATTTTTTCGCCTATTTGCGGTCATCCCCCAGATCACAAAAAAGTAAAGAAAGTTGCTTTTTTCAGGGTCTCTGTGCACGGACACTTCCCCTATGATTTGAGGCCGAAAACCGATTGGTTCAGTCATGCTCAGTGTTTTTTCCAGTATAAGACCAAAATGGAACAAGGCTGAAAAAATTTGCATACAAAATTAGATTTTCGGCGAGTTGGTTTTCGGCGAGATGGTTTTCGGCGAAATGGTTTTCGGCGGGATGGTTTTCGGCGAAATGGTTTTCGGCGAGATGGTTTTCGGCGAAATGGTTTTTCGGCGAAATGGTTTTCGGCGGGATGGTTTTCGGCGAAATGGTGTTCGGCTAGATGGTTTTTCGGCGAGATGGTTTTCGGCGAACTGGTCCGATACCGTTTTGAAGTGTTTATAGTAATCGCTCGGAACATTGCCGAGAACTCTGATCCCTAAATTAAGGCGGGGTGAAGCTGATCTTTGCTTAGGTTTTCCCCGGAGTAATAATTGTCTTTTAAAAAGTCTGGGTTTAAGTTTTGATGTGTTCTGTGTGGAACAGAAGTTGCCATTTGGAACGCATTTTTGGTGTGATTCAGGGTTGGAAGTGGGGAATTTAAAGTACGCTTGGCTACGGAATTACACCATGATTGAGAGTTCTGGTCTCGGTTTGACAATTCGAAAAGTATCGGAGGCATTTTTCAAGCGAAAAGTGTGGTTTAAAGCAGACATGGCAATCCCGGCCGGTCTAGCCGCACGGCCGAGCCGCCGGCCCCATTTCCATAAAAACCCGGCCCCATACGAGCCGCGTTAATGACTTACTTCCGGAAACCCGGCCTCCCGGCCCAGCCGGCTTTTTGTTGCGGCCCGGCCAAGCCGGTACGGCCGAGCCGGGGAAACCGGAAGTTGCTAATTTACATGAGAATCCGTTAATCCTATGAAAAATTGTGAATGGAAATGACCAAATTTCTATGGCGGAGTAGTTTTTCTCTTGCCATAAAGCTAATTATTGATTGAATCCGCAATCTGCGTACCGGAAACGCGAAAATCTCATTTGGGTCCGGCTTTCCGGCTTTTCAAAAGCCGGCGGCTTGGCCGGGGCTCCGGCCTCAAAACATAAAAAAGCCGGGGCCGGACCGGAAGTTCCGGCCAAGCCGCGCGGCTCGGCCGTATTCTAATTTTGCCGGCCGAAAAAAGCCGGCGGCCCGGCCGATTGCCATGTCTGGTTTAAAGCATGACGTCCCTGAGCCTAAGCTTAAGCCGAAGCCTATGCGCAAGCCTAAGCATCCAGCGCCGTATTGTAATAAAGATAACAATTTATAACCTATAAACTTGAGGTTCATGTCCCCTTAAAATTAAAAATGCCCCCGCGACCGAGCCATGGCTGGAAGCCCTTAAAAAGGTACAATAAATTGTCTTCAAATGCGAACGTTTAAAAACCTTTTATTACCATACTCAATACTATCACCCGTAGTATCATGAAATTACCAAACTTCAGACTTGAAAGCCCATCAAAATATCACAATCCAAGCACCGGAGGGGCCCGCGTTTTGGGCCGTAAAATTGATGCACAGGATCGGGATGAAAATGCCGTAAATGTCGATGGAAAGGCCGATGATTGGCGTCTGGACGAGGCCCATTAGGCTCGGGTTGTTGAGCAGGAAGGCGAACGCTGTCTGAAAAACATTTATTGAACTTTAGAAATAAAATACTGGGCGAGAGAGCGAGACAGAAAGAGACAGAGAGAGCGAGAGAAGTAGAGAGAGAGAGCGAGAAAGAAAGAAAGAGAGAGAGCGATAGAGAGCGAGAAAGAGAGAGAGAGAGAGAGAGAGAGAGAGTGACTCCGAAAACTTAACAAAAACCCAAAAAATGTAGTGCACTACCAATTGCCCCCTGGCAATTCACTGTTCCAGGCGGCTCCTTTAAATGCACAAACGTCTCTATTGGTTGCTCTAAAACCGAGAATCCGGAACGGCGACCCGGGGAACTCGCAACCGAACCGAGATGTCACGGCCGGGGCTCGAACCCACGAGTGTTGGGGCCGAAAATGCGCGATTTCGCAATAGACTATGCGTGGCAGGGCAGCTGGAGGTTTAGGGCTGGATGTACCCCCGGCCCTGGGGTAGAATAAGACATCTGCCATCGTTGGGAAAGCAATAGGCTAATTTCTGACACTCTCTCTCATCCTCTCTGTATCCCTCTCTCCATCGTTTGCTCACTTTCTCTCGTTCACAATCTAAATTATGGCGCGGATCGTTTTTAAATTGTTGTTTTCTGATTTATCCATCTCGCCTCTACAGTAGAGTACAGAGTACAGCTATCTCTCTCTCTCTCTCTCTCTCTCTTTCTCTCTCTCTCTCGCGCGCTCTCTCTCTCTCTCACTTTCGCTTCTCTCTTGTTCTCTTTCTCTCTAGCATCAGGCTTTAATTTTTCGTACCCAAAAACAATACCATTCCCAGAAAATTGTTTGCAATAAAGTCTTTGTACCACAGCCCCCTTCTGAAAAATAAATCTTCCCCAAAATGAATCATACGGCCAATGATCTTGTTTACCCCCTATCTGATGCCGAGAGCTTGTAAAATTCCCCGAAAATCCAAAAGCGATCCCCTAATACTCACCAGGGACACACAAAATTGGCCCATCAAAAAGGCGAAGCAGACGGTGCGGATGATCGAGTTGCACCGGGCTTTTCGACGGTTTCGACGCCTGAATTCGGTTTTAGCATATTCGTGGAAAGTGAAAATTGTAAACTACAGACTGTACGACCTACCCGATTAGCACAAAATAGTGTGCCGCGTTGATGACCACGGTCAGAAGAGCGCCCAAAACGACAAGGGCGGCAAAGACGAGGCAAGCGAGGCGAACTGTCTGAAATCACGAGTTAAAATAAGTTATCGAAATTTAACGAATCTGGAAAATAAAGAAGGGGAAAGGCAGGAAAACCGGTGTTTTTAGTTTTTGAAACTTTACCTTTAACCGAACTTCCTTTAGGCGTGATTCACAAAATTCGGAGTCTCACCTCGCTAGCCAGGATATCATCATCGCTCTGCTCCGAACAGCCCATCGTAGCGAAGATGATGACCGCCACGACATGAAAGAGCAGCGGAAGCAAAAAGACTGGCGTCAAAATCGGTAGCATCCGGGTGCGAAGCATCTGAAAGGCCACATTTAGCATCAGCCCAGGCAGGCAGCTCTGGCTTCTAGCCCTACTCACAAGGAGACGTTTTTGAGTGTCGTCGCGACTTTGGCACGTGACCAAGCCTATCTTGTGCAGAATTTTACGCTGATTCCGAATATGGTAACCGTTTTTCAGGAATAGCCATTTCTCGAAGGTTATGAACGATATAAACCTCAAAACAGCCCAAAATCGGCTACTTTCGATAGTCATAAACGGCTTCGGAATAGGTTTTAAACAAAACTTGATAGTGCATCTTGTTCAGAAAAAAATTTCTATAAAATAAGCTACTTATCTCAAAAATGCTGGAATTTTGAAAATTTTAATAAAATTATGGACCTCCCAATTTCTCAAATTTTTCCAACTTTTCAGTGAGTTTGGAAAAGATGGTACATTTTATAGAGAATTTATTTCTGAAGAAGATGTACTATCTGGTTTTGTCTAAAACCTATTTTGAAGCCTTTGATGACTACTAAGAGCAGCCGATTTTGGGCTGTTTTCAGGTTTAAATCGTTCATAACTTTCGAGAAATGGTTATTCCGCAAAAACGGTTACAATATTCGGAATCAGCGTAAAATTCTGCACAAGATAGGCTTGGTCCCGTGCCAAAGTCCCGACGACACTCAAAAACGTCTCCTTGTCAGCCTGTCGATTTGTAAAAATTAATAAAATCGGTGTAGTTACTAATTACTCACATAAAATTTAATACTTACTCGCTCCTCGAAGCCTGGCTTATAGCGCGCTAACAGCCGTAACGAGCTGATCAGCGTCACAGCCAGAATGTTGACGAGGATGAGGTAGCAGAGTAGGGAGAGCTGGCAGAAGCGGAGTGATAGGGAGGACTCCATCAAGTCTAGAAAAAGATTGATAACTGAGCTTCTCTCTCTCTCTCTCCCTCTCTCTCTCTCTCTCTCTCTCTCTCTCTCTCTCCACGCACCCCTTTCAACGCTAATATACCTTGAAAGCCTCTGAACTGTTTGGAGTCAAAGTTGTAGAGTGATGCCTTGACGGTGGTGACGTTGAACACAAGGATCCCGATACTCTAGGCTGCTTATTCAGGGAATTATTTGGGCAAAATACCGTAAAGATAATTGCTGAATAAATATGGCGCAGATAGGGCTGAAAGTGAGATGGGTTGACGTGCATATATCTGAAAAAAAAACCGATTTTGCGTGTTTTAACCGCGTTGTAGAGCTAAAATTTTGCTACAAGTTACAATTACAATTATTGCAACTTTTTGAACCATTTTTAAAGGTGTAGGAAACATTAGTCGAGTAGGTCACCATTCTTACTTATTTTTGCTGTTAATTTATACAAATAAAATTAGTAATCGAATTAAAAAACGACAAATTAAGGCTGTTTATTTCAAAAAGTGCTGATAAAAATATGTTCACGCGCTTCCGTTTTTTTAACCGTTGAGTATCGGAAACTTTCGTACATTGCTATTTTCTCCACTAGAAAATAGAACAAATTATCGTATGACTCCTTAGTTTTAATGTTAAGAAAAAGAAAAACGAAAAATGCCATTTTTTGACCTTTCCAACTAGAGATGTTATTATTCAAATCAAATCCTACTCAAATCCGATTTGATTTGAATAAGAAGATTTGAGATTTGATTCCGCCGAAATCAAATCTGGATTTGATTTGAAACTGGCTGGACTTTCAAATCAAATCCAGATTTGATTTGAGAAACTTTCAAATCTGGAGTCATTTTTACGGATGTAAATCACAAGTCGAGCAGCAAAAAATGTAGGGAAAGACGGAAATTTTGAATTTTTTTTGCATATGATCATCATTGAATAAACCGGAAATTGCTGATAAGCATCCATTTTCTCGCATTTGCTTCGGAAATTTGAGTTGCTCAAATTAATCAAATCAAATCGGTCCAGGATTTGATTTGAATTGGACTTCCGGTTCAAATCAAATCCGGTTTGATTTGATTCTGCCGGCAAATCAAATCAAATCTGGATTTGATTTGAGAAACTTTCAAATCCTCAGATTTGATTTGAATAATAACATCTCTATTTCCAACCACCGGATCTAAAGACGGGAAATCACTCACCTCACTGAAAATATCTGAAACGACACCGCAAGTAGCACCAACACCACGCCAACCGCGAATACAATATCTTCCAGCATGTCCCGATTTGGGGGATGTTGGCCGGCGGCCATGGATGCTCCGGTACCACTTTTCTTCAAATGCCACGTTTAGCCGGCAGGGGTCTCACAACCAAATATCATGGACAAAAGCCCTGAATTATCGGACGATTTTGTGGCGGTGCCCAGAAATTGGGGTCCTCCCGGTAAAGTGCGCGTTGTGTGGGTTTTAATTAATGGTTTGGTGCGTTGCCTAGCTGGGTTTTTTACTATACTGTGGACCCCGCTTCCGCTGCTTTTTGAACTCGTAGCTTTGGGGTGCAAGTTTGATGGCTGGGTGTTGGCATTTCCGGTATGGTGTCCGCGTTTCTCTCTCTCTCTCTCTCTCTCTCTCTCTCTCTCTCTCTATTTCTCTCTCTCTCACTCTCTGTCTCTCTCGTTCTCGCTCTCTTGCTCCCCCTTTCTCTCACTGTCTCCCTCCCCCTCTCTGTCTCTCTTTATCGCTCTCTCTCACTCGCTCGCTTTCACTCTCTCACTCTCACACTCACTCTCTCTCTCTCTCTCTGCCTCTCCTCTTTTCTTGTTTTGGCATTCTTCATTAAATAATTTATCCAATGAAAATCACATACAACGAGATCAATGAAATACACCCGAAAAGTAGCCAAGAACGACAAAGATAAGCGTCAAACTTGCTCCACGCGGCGCGCCGATTTTTGTTGTTGTCGCGACCGTATCTGTCGAGCCTGAACTTGTTGAAATCGCGTTGGGATCTGGTGAGGTGCTTGGTGCGGAAGCATCCGTATGAGCAGCTGTGCTTTGCGTACCGGGGCTAGTCGGAGGAAAAAGCGTAGTCGCGTAGAAGTCATTGTCGCCGTCGGAGTACCTGAAAGTAATGCAAGCTAAATGGGCAGAGAGAGAGAGAGAGCGGGAGAGAAAGAGAGAGAGAGAGGGTGAGAGAGAGAGAGAGTGAGAGAGAGCGAGAGAGAGAGAGAGAGAGAGAAGGAGAGAGAACAGTAATGGTGAACATTAGTCTCTTAAGCACATCGAACCAGAGAACATTTCCGCTTTCGGAAATTCCCGGGTACAACAAGTGCGCCGCGCTCGCGAAGTTGTGTAATTACATACTCAAAGCTAGATAGAGAAACGGATAGCAGAAAAAAAATTTGGAGAAATCCCAGTTCTCTGAAAATGATAGCCAATTGCCTGCCTGCCTTCAAAACGACGAGTAACTTGAAGGCAATTTTTCGAAACAGCTACCTCTGAATTTCGGCACAATCTTACCTCATGATCAAGCCGTTGTCACAAAAAGTACCGGGCGTGCACTGCCAGCTGTAGGTGATCCACAACTGCTTCTGATCCGTGTGGTAGTGGCAGATTTGGGCGTCCAGTTGTCTAAAAACACGTGAGAAAATTACGAAAAATTACGAAAAAAAGATGAACGATTTAGAAAAAGAAGAAAAAGGCTATCCAATCTTTTCATTTTTTAAAGAATTTTTGAAAAATATTTTTTTCAGCGAAGTACTCACCCCCTATTCCCATTCTTATCATCGACCTCCAGCGTGGCGCCTTGTGGCAGGAAGCTCATTAGGTCGAGGTTGATACCTTGGCCTTGTGCACGTTGCTGGAAAAACCATATAAAAAGGATTTTAAACACCCTAGAAATAAAAAGATATAAAAACATAGGAGCTAGCAAAAATGCAAAAACCCACACTCCACAGATTGTACTGTATCGTAAAATTATCCGTATCGGTGCCCAAATACGGTGGTGAGGTCAAAACACCGGGTCCGGTGTTTGTGTAGTACGTGTCGTAGGTGGCTGAAACTATATTTTTGGCAAGAATTACGGTAATTACAGTCATACGAGCGTCCATACGAGTGAAGTGTAAGTTTACGTCTCAAATACGAGAATGCACTTATCATACTACGCTACATTGGGCTACGCTACGCTACAGTACGCTACTACGCTACACTGCACGACGCTACCACGCTGCACTGCGCGAAGCTACGCTGCATTGCGCTATACTACGCTACAGTACGCTACGATACGTGCACTACGGTAGAGTATGCTACGTTACACCTAACTATAGGAGTGAAGTGTAAGTGCATGTCCGTAATAAAGGCATACGCGGATTCCACTACGCTGTTACACCACAGTACGCTATGGTACCCTACGCGACGTCACCGTAGGAAACTTTCCGGCTAAAGTTGCACTTACGTCTCGTCCCGGTGACCACGGTCAAATTACAGTAAGCCTCATTATTGTCGACCTCGAAAATCATATAGCGACCATAGAAAAAGTTGATTTTCGTGTTCCGGTAAAACGGCTGCGTGCAAAGTTGTCCGATTCCGCTAAATTTGAATAATTTTAGTAAAAATAAAAAATCGATAGGTTCTAAAAATTCGAAAAAAACGAGTATGGCTAAGACAAAAAAGGAAAAGCTTACCCATAAATTAGACTACTCTGCGTCTCCGTCAACCCTTTCCAAATATTCACATTTGCGCAATCTCCATACAGGCCGACCTTTGTCGTGACGAGACCGTACTTATGGCTGGAGGGCTATAATATTGTACTTAAATATCTCTTTCTTTCTCTCTCTCTCCCGCTCTCTCTCTCCCCCGCTCTCCTTCTCTATCTCTCGCTCTCTCCCGTCCTGACCTGGTAGACCACATATTTTTGCTTTGTTCCTGGCGGTATGGCCCATTGGGTCCCAAGATTGGTGGTGGCAACAGCACTCAACATTTTATATTCGTCGACGTCTGAAACATTTCTATCTCTCGCTCTCTCTCTCTCTCTCTCTCTCTCTCTCTCTCTCTGTGTCTCTCTCTAGCTTACCAGCTCCAAAAAGTTGATGAAAACTGCTCGTCTCATTTTTCGTCTGTGTAATTTGGATCTTTAGGGAGCGTCCGGAGATTTGGAAAACGTTGGCCACAGTAGTGCTGAAAATGGGGAAATTGAGAATGTGAAAGATAGAAAGAGAGAGAGAGAGAGAGAGAGAGAGAGAGAGCGAGATACTCTCTTACTTTGGCCTAAAGATATCAATCGGCAACCCATCGATCCAAGCTTGAACATCATAGCCAGTCAGTGTCCATCCCCAGGGCTCGTAGTAGACGCTTGTAAAGTTTCTGTAACTGAGGAATTGGAGACATTCGTCTGAAAACTTTTCTAACACGAATAATTATTTCGTAATTTCGATAGCTTCCGTTCAAATCCGAACCTTACCTTCCACAATCAGTCGTTTGCAGGACCCAGGTCACCGAATCGCCGATACCTCTTGTAATATCCCCATTGACGTCCACTAATTTTGAGTCAGCGTTGCAAAGATTGTAGGTGAGGGCGACGGCTTTCCCTGGAATTTACAGATGCTTAAAGCGCTGAAAAATCTTTTGATCGACCTCTTTCTCTCCCTCTCTCTCCCTGTCTCTCTCCCCTATCATCGCTTCCTCTTTCTTCCACTCTCTCTCTCTCTCTCTCTCTCTCTCTCTCTCTCTCTCTCTCTCTCTCTCTCTCTCTCTCTCTCTCTCTCTCTCTCTCTCTCTCTCTCTCTCTCTCGCTCTCGCTCTCGCTCTCGCTCCCTCTCTCTAACACTCTTTCTTTCGCATTATCTTTTGCTCTCTCTCGCTCTATCTCTCTCTCGCCATCTCGCTCTCTCTCGCTCTCGTTCTTAACCTACCATCGTTCAGCTGTAGATTTGAACCCCCAGTAAACTTTTGTGGAGTTAAATCGAAGAATTTTGCATCCCGAAAATCCAGAACCTCGCCCGGAACCGGTTCAGGAATTTCCGATGCTGAAATAGCAGCTGCAAGACTAAGCGTAACTAGTAAAAATTGGAATATTCTGTGCATTCCGGATAGTTGCAGAAGAGCACCGAACCAACACGGGCTTTTCGTTCTTGCCCACTTTCCTGGACCCACGCCATTTTTCATGCCTTTTTCGGGTTTCGGGCTGATAAGCTTTTTTTGCTGCGTGTAGGGGCATGATGACGTGGCCCGTCCAGGGACAGCCGCGCCCAGGAAATATTGCTAGTTTGATACTTCTTGATACCGATTAGACAGGAAATTATTCAGGATCGGACAACTTTGAGAAATCTTGTGAAACCAGCGGTTCTGGACTGTTAGTGGGGGGGGGGGGGATTTCTAGCGGCCAGACCAAAATTTTTCCCAGTCATTCCGGACGGCCCTATAACGATCCATCAACGTTTTTTGTAGCAACCCATATAGTTTTTTAGAGATAACCCAATTTAAAAATGATACACATTTTCGAACATTCTTGACATTTTGGTCAACAATGTCTGAAGAATGACCAAAAAAAGGTAACAATTTTCAAATTTTGAAAATAGAAGAACACTTTTTTTATTACTTTCTAGCAAGCCCCGGTAGGCAGAGAAAATTAACAAAATTGCAGCGTGTGTGTTTTTGAAATGCGAATGCAACGCTTCTTGCGCTTACGCATATCCGCGGTGCCATCTGCGTAAAAATTTCGATGTCAATTGTCGCGCCGCATTCCAAGTGCGTTATAAAAATCATTACGTGGAAGTGTCCGCGCGCAAATGTCACGTCGGGAATGTCGCGGAACGAACGTTGTGTGACTGGAAACTAACAGTGTCTGTCAAAACGATACAACCAGCTTTTTGAACGCGATTATCTCTGTTTGGTTGAGTTTGACTGAAGACCAAATTAGCAGGTCTTGTAGAACTGGAAAGGCGCAATTTTTCATATACAGGAATTTTCTCAAAAAAAGCGACCGCCATTTTTATCAGCGAGGAAAAAAAATAGAGCAAGAAACAGGAGCGTCAAAATCACAAAGCCCACTTTCTATATTTCGTTTCGCGTCAAAAAAAACGCAAGAAGAGCCGTGATAGCCGCATCCAAAGTGGTCTACCGTCGTGTCACAGGACTATAACGATTTGACTATGACTAGGCTGTGTGAACTAGACTGATTTCTAGACATCAACAACCTATTTTTCTTCATCAACGGTATGCATGCGACCATGTCATCGATTGCAATTATTGCCTTGACGGAGCTGTACCGCAAATATGTGATTAGCAAGTTTGGCTTGAGGTATGTTCGTTTCCACGCGCATTTCACCTCTATTAATAGGTGGGTCGGCAGTTATATCGGGCGTTCAAAAAATAGTCATGTGCCTCCGTTGGTCTCCGTTCACCCCAGCAAATGAAAAGCAGAACAAACACGGCATAAACTGGTGGATGCTTTATAAAAGGGGCCTGAGGTGCAACAAATTGCCAAACGCTGACAAGACACATGGTAGTGTATTTAGGTCATGGAATTTCCTTTTTCTTGCCATGGCCGTTATTTGCATTCTTTATATCCGAGAAACACTCAGCGATGTCGTTGTCACGGCACGTGTTATCCTGGGTGATTACAATTTCAAATAAACGTAAAAAACTTACTTCTTCCATCCAAAGAGTCGTAGCACGAACATCTTATAGGGCTCCGTGAACAGTAGGATCGATATTGACGACATTGTTGCGTGCGAGGCGTTGAACCAGAAGGCGAAGTTGAGGATGGCTGAACGATTCGTTTTGAACAAAACGTTACAGCTCACCAGGAGAAATTTTATAGTCGGCGAACTGGACACCGGCGAATAGCCCCCATGGCAAGAGAAGCGTCAGATACGGAATCGCCAACTAAAAAGCATTTTGAAGCTGAAAAACCCAAACCTGAAGCAATAAGCCTTTCATTAGTTTGGTCTGTAGCCGCCGAGTTTGCCGACTCAGCGCCACGTGACCGTCAAGCATCCAGAACGCGTGCGCGACGAGAGCGAATCCCTGGTTGTATTGCTAGTTTTTAGTAACAATCGAGTTTCTACGCGCGACATATCTTATGCAGAATGATTCAGAAAATTTTTGCAAAAATAAGCTTTGATCCTGTGTAGAAGCTCGATTGTCACTAAAATACGCCTCCATGGTAGATGCCGCCCGAGAATTAAGACAAAAAAGAACAGCACGAAGTCTAACGAACTAAAAGAAAAAAAGACTTACGAATGTTGCCGCTTCCGCGATCGATACCGCCACAATCACGCACGCATTCATTTGTAGCGTTAGGCCCGTGAACGGATAAATACTTGACGCATCCCCGGCGAAAAAGTCGTCGTGGTCGAGTACAAAACTGTACTCTGGGTACCGCTGAAGCGATCTGTGAAAGATACTAAGACTTGCAAAGTTTACCTTCAAAATCTTGTCCCTGATCCCGAGTCCATTCCCCAGCTCGGCATTTCCAAGCGATAGTGTATGCACGAAAAATACGTCGCAGAAAATATAGTGAATCGCGAAGAAGAACGCCATAGTCCGTATTTTCACGCTGGAAAAAGCATCATGAAATTATTTAAAAAAACCACCGGAAGATATGTCCAATTGGCAGAATCTGGCGATGTCGATACAGCAGGCACTTGGCTGTGGCGAACACCATGTGAAAGAGGATGACAGCCCCGATTTCCTACAAGATATGATTACGGAAAAGGTGATATCATCTTACAAATGCAGTGATAACGTTCATGCCGAAAATCGTGAACAGCCAGCCAGAGGTACGCACCAGAAGTGTCGGGAAGAAGACTTGCGGTTCGAGGCCGTGTAAAAACACTTCGAATGCTATCGACCAAAGCTACAAGGTTTACGCTTTAAACGGCAATTGTTATAGCATCGTTTCGTTTTCCAATATGCACGCTTCAAAAGGCTCTCGCTTCGAAAGTTAAGGAAACTGTCAAAATCTCAAAAAGCAGAATTTGGAAAGTTCAGAATCTCGAAAATTCTGAGCATCGAAAATGAATCTCATGACAATAAACCACCGAAAACCAAAACCTCGCAAATCAGGATCGAAACGAATTGACATATTCCTAACGACTTCCTAAGTTTCTTTAATGGGCAAAAAGGTAGATTTTCGATATTCGAAACTAGTGGAAATTCCGTATTTTGATATTTTGGTTTTCCAGATCCGGATTTTGGAGGTTTTGCTAGAAAATCCTTTCGCCCCACTAAGGGGAGGGCGATCTGCCCGCCGACGCGATAAAATTGGCGGGGAACCTCTCCTTAGTGCATACCTGTAGCCACGAGGGTCGAGCTAGGGCGCGCTATTTGAAAACTGAACGATGCTATATGTAGCTTTATCGATTTTATAAAATTGGCAGATGATTTTACTAACGGAACAAATTTGCTTTTACGAACCTGATACCAAAGCAATAAGTGCTTATATCTGTGCATTGACACCGGTGACTTTTCATAGATGACATACACGACAAAGAAATTCAGAAACGTCCCCAGCACATAGCAAAGTCGCATAAAGAAGATGTAATATATTGGGTCCTCGTATACGATGGCCGTCATCTTGTCAGAAATGGGAAAAGACTGCATAAAACAATTGGCGGCCAGGGTCTATAAACCTGCAAGATTCCGCATTGCATGGCAGGTGATTTTCGTAAGTGGCAGTGCTTGGCTTGTTCGCTTGCGTGTTTCAAAAACAGCTGCCGCCACAATTTGCGATCAAAAAAGTTATAACATTCCAAAGGAGAGATCAGTTATTGAAAAGGACTTGCTCCCTGGAATTTGTTACCCTTACAAGAAACCATTTTTGAGCGCTTGGAGCCCTGAGATAAGTTTGTGCTGCTATGCCTGTAAATCTTTAATGTATTTATAAATTTATGACATGTGTATATATAGTACAACCGGGCTTTCAAAAACTTTATCGAAATCAGCAGAACAACAGCAGAACGACTTTTTTGGGTTGTGCAATAAGACTGCTCTCAGTTTTGCAAAGATTCGGCGAGATTTATGCTCTCGATAATCGGGAGATGCTCATCGAGATCACCACCATCAAGACGAGATAAGCTTAGGATAAGCTAAAATGATATTTGTATTGCTGCATCGAGTTTGGCGATTTGTATAAAATTACGTAGACGGTAAATATATTCAAAATAGACCCAAATATGAAGGATACACGCATATACCAGATATAATATGTTCCATTATCATAGATAAAGCTTGTCATTTCAGGAAAAGCTGCTGCCTGGCTCAATAATCGTCAGTTTCTTTCAGTCTTGGCGCGGCAGCTGATTTTTCGGGAATTCGTTTCAATATTCACCGTGTTTTTGGGAGGGGATCAAGGTCCAAACTGGAAAAAGTGGATCAGGTGCCACGCTTAATTCTTTATTGCATAACCGCATTTTTTAAAACAATTACGAAGAGTTTTGCTGATTTCTTCGGGCCGTCGGTCCATGCGTGACCGTGACGCTCGCGTTTGCTTTTGCAAATTGACGTCTAATTATTGATCAAAAAAAAACAGATAGCATACCTTGGGAAGCCGGCGAGTTGAAAAACATATCTTTTATAAGGTTCCGTAAATAGTATTATCGAAATGGATGAAATGGAGGCGTGCGAGCCATTGCACCAAAACGCGAAATTTATATAAGCTAAAAATATCGTCTTTGCAGCTATATACTTTTAGGGCTTTACAACGCCCCAAACAAAACCGGGAAGGGCTAGATAATGAAAAATCCTAGACTTTATTAAAAGCAACGCTTACTGCAGGAATTACTGATTACCTGGATCCACGTTTAGTTGCAAAACTTGCACACCGCTGATGAAGGCACCCGGGTAGAGCAATGTCATATACGGGATTAAAAGCTACAAAATGAGGTTTATAAGGTGTGCCCATTGCCGTACTTGCGGCAAAAACTCCAACCTGAAAAATTAGGCCCTTCAACATTTTCGACTGCAATCGCCGAGTCTGCTGGCTCAAATAGAGATTTCTATCTAGCATGTAGAAGGCGTGCCAGAAGAAGAAGACACCCTAGTATTGGATTAGTTTTCGGCAAAAACACTTACAAAAATCAGGCTTTCCACGCCCATAAGGATGGCGATGACAGCCGCATTAATTTGTATCGTAAGCCCGGTGAGAGGATAAAAGCCTGAGGCGTCTCCAAAAAAGAAGTCGTCATATTCTCTGACGAAAATATACTGTGGATATTCCTTAAAATTGTATTTTAATTTCTGCAACCAAAATACAGAGCGAGAGAGAGAGAGAAAGAGAGAGAGAGAGAGAGCGAGAGAGAGAAAGCAAAAGTAAGCAAGTTAAGCCATTTAAGCTAACTTCCAAAATCTTGTTCTTTAGAGCCGGCCCGTTGAGCTCACAGTTTCCATACGAGAGCGTATGCACGAAAGCGAAGTCGTAAAATAGGTAGTGAAACGTGAATATTATTGAGATCGTCGCCCATTCAACCCTAAAAAAGTCGATTCAAATCACGAGGAAAACGATAGCCATACCGTAACCAATGGCCGATCGGCAGGATTTGACGATGCCGATATATGATGCACTGACCCGTTGAGAAGATCATGTGGAAAAATAGAACGGAGCCGATTTGCTGAAAGTCTTTTTATAGATTTTAATGGTCGGGTTTTCAACACTACGCTAAAATGCAATTCACATGAGTGGAGATGGCTATGGTAGTGGGAATAGTAAACAGGCTGTCCCAATTAAAACACACCCCCCTCTAACTCGACGCAGAAGGGTCGGATCGGAACGGTAGTTACACCATTCGTAAGCCCGTGACACGCCAAATTTGCAACAATCTTCGAAACCATCTTTTTATTTAAGGCCCCGATTTTACAAGTCATTTCGTAAAACTTTTCAGTTTTTTAGGGTTGCATACAGGCTAGTTTGCCTCAAATTCTCCATACAAAATGACCGGAAGTAGCCGTTAATTAGATGCAGAGACCGTTCCTTAATGTTTTGAAATACGTTGTAAAATAAAGATATGGGTTTGAAGAATGTTGCCAACTCGGCGTTTCAAGGGCTTTCGAATGGTATAATAACCATTCCGATCCGATACTTTTGCGTCGATTTAGAGGAAGGTGTTTTTTACTGGGACACCTTGTAAGCCACTAGGTACTCAGTATGGCCTATTTTCAAAATGTCGAAATTCATAATGTCGAAACTCATAATGTCGAAATGTCAGAATGTCGAAATTCAGAATGTAGAAATTTACGTAAGCTAAAATTCCCGGTAAAGTCCCCGAATCCTAAGCAAAAAATCTTGTCGTGAAATAAGATAAAAAAATAGCATGTGGAAAAAATTTTTTGACTGGGATTTCGCGGTTTCACCGGTAATATTAGCCTATGTAAATTTCGACATTCTGATTTTCGACATTCTGACATTTCGACATTATGAAATTTCGACATTATGATTTTCGACATTATGATTTTCGACATTATGATACCAAATCATTCAGTATAGGTCCCTATCCTAAAAACCTACCCAGGCGGTTAGAATATTAATTCGAAAAAGCGCAAACAGCCACCCGGTAAGCCGGGCCATAAGAGCCGGGAAAAACAACTCCGGCTCAAGGCCGTGCATGAACACTTCGTACGTTATTGACCAAACCTAAAAATTTAACTTTTTACAGGCTTTTGATATGTGGATACCTGGTAATAAAGCAAATGATACTTATAATCATGCATGAAGCTCGGAGATTTCCGTAATATTACATACACGGCAAAGACCATACAAATGGTGCCGACGATCGACGACAGCCTCATGAAAAACACGTAGCAAATTGGGTACTCGTACACGAAGAGCTCCATTTTGGTTCGATAATCGGCTCCACGGCAGAATGGAGAGACGAATACGTGTGGTGTCTCATTATAGAGCAGGTGTTTCCTGAAAACGTCTTGTTTTTCGCGATATTTGTTTCCTGGCGAATTCGGGTGTTCAAAAGTTGGAACGAGAACGAGTGAACGTGTGCGAATTTACAGGGTATCCCCCAAAAAAGACCCTTTCTACCGGTACGGAACAGTGCCGGATTTTTACGATTTAGGTATCTATCGAAAACTCTCGGCGGGCTAACTGTAACCCTTTTATGGTCGAAGTGGAAATTCGTTTCATCAGATAGCACATCTTGTGCAGAATTTTTCGCTGATTCCGAATCCGTTTTCAAAAGTTGCGGAACCCCTCAGATTAAAAAGTTACAAACGTTTTTAATACCCAAAATGCCAACCCGTAGCTCGAAATTTGCAGAAAATTTTTTTCGGTGGCCGATTTTCGAAATTTTCGAAATTTTGAGCTACCGGCTTGTGAGGCAGCCAATTCGAAGAGCACTTTTTTTACCCCGGAGCACGCCTTACTCTCCCCCCAAAAGTATCTTACGAAATTTTTAGAGCGCTTTAAATTAAGCGATTTGTGACATTTTGAGTATTAAAAACGCTTGTAACTTTTTAATCTGAGAGGTTCCGCAACTTTTGAAAACGGATTCGGAATCAGCAAAAAATTCTGCACAAGATGTGCTATCTGACGAAACGAATTTCCACTTCGACCATAAAAGGGTTACAGTAAGAAGAGCTAGCAGCAGTAAATCCTGTTATCTAGCACTTCCAGAAGATTTTTCCGCCGTTTTCATGGTCCATTAAAGCTATCTTATTTTTACATTGTGGAACATCAGAATACGTTGCAACGTTTTCAACAATTGTCATTTCGCAAGTTTTGAAAACAGATTGGGAATGAGCGTAAAAATCTGAACCAGACCGGCTTGGTTTCACCTCAAATTTCCAGCCTCTCTCTCTCTCTCTCTCTCTCTCTCTCTCTCTCTCTCTCTCACCCTAACCACTAAAAAAAGTTCTCTCGCTCTATATTTCTGCGATTTTCCTGGAATCGGCTTTATCGAAAATCAGTGAATTCACGTGGCTAATCATGGATACAGTGGACCTTACAACTCTGAGGTTTGGTGCTCACCCTTTGAGACCTATTCAATGAACAACGCAAGGGAAAATAGTCTGACTTTTGCGGCCTGAGTGTGATTAGAATGAGTGAAATTGCACAGGTAATACGGTAAGCGACCAGGGCAGCGCGAGATAAGGTATAGGAACAAGTATTAAACCGAAGGTAGCACAAAATATGAGAAATAGGCGGAAGAAGCTCGAGTGAAGGTATAAGGTTTCTAATAATAGTGAGGCTTGAAAAAAAAAATGAATTCAAGACATCTGGTGCGCCAAGATTTGCGGCTCGCCGCCCACGGTGCTGTAGATGAGGTCGAGGATTAGGGGTGTGTCCGGGAGTGTCTGCAAAAAAAAGAGCGTTAAAGAGATCAGAGAGCGAGAGAGATCAAAAGAGAGAAGGAGAGAGAGAGAGAGAGAGAGAGAGAGAGGGAGAGAGAGAGAAAGAGAGTTTGTCTTAAAGCTCATCAAGTGCATACCTCCACATCCACGCCCAGAATCTCTTGGATTTTGGCCTTGGCTGCCGGCGCAAACCTCAGATGTCCGGCTGCGTATTTCAGAAACTCGCGCACGTTAACCTACAAAATTCATCAGATATAGATAAATTTAGAATAGCGTTACCTCTTCAATGTAAATACAAGCGTTCGGGCCCGCATCGAAGGTATACGCCGCCTCGGGGGTTTCCGGCTGCTTCTTTTCCTGATTTTCATGCGGAGTTTTACCGCTGTTGAAACGGTGGACCAAGTCGATGATCAGCCGTGACGTGTCGTTGAGGTACTGTGAAAAATGGGATTGTATGACTTAAATAATTCAGTTCCAAATCTTCGCATTCAATCGAAACATACCGGCAACGGGGGTTTCGTATCCAAACAACACGCGTGGAAGTTATCACTGTCTTTCATCACCAGCTCGGCAAGTTTGGAGAAATCTTTGGCAGCATAAGCTTCAGTTAGACTATAAAACTTAGATATTCTTCATGATTTCAAAAAAATGATACCTATTGATGGTCTCATCGACACCAGCAACTCGCTCCTGAAGTAGGCTGCTCGTCTCAACGGTCATCTATAAAGTCAAATCTAGATGGAGATTTTAAGATTCGATATATTATTGTATGGCTTTATTACTATGAATATATTTCGTCAACATCCAAAAACTCGGAACGAAATACTGTGGTTTTATGATTTTTCGATACCTGCATTCCCTTGGTCGAGCCGTCCTTCTTCTCCTGATCGTTCGCCACGAAAATCAGGGCTCTCAATGCGGGCCAATGACTGGCTGGGAAGAGTTGCTAAATGAAGAGCAATTATTTTAAAAACCGAAGAGAACAGATTCCAAAAATTTACAGAAGACGCACAGTGCGTGACGTGCTAATTACATCTAAATAATTTTTACTTACCTCAGCCACCGAATCAATACCATCAGCTCGAGTCCCACGATGCCAACGAACTAGCCCGCCGTCCAGTGAGCGTACGGCCGAGCCCGAGCCTAATAATAAGGAACATAGGGAAGAGAGAGAAAGATAGAGAGAGAGAGAGAGCGAGAGAGAGAGAGCGGGAGAGAGAGAGATAATAAGAGAGATGAGCTTGAGCGAGAGAGAACGGTTTTTGCTCACCTAATCTAGCCAGTCTCGAAGCTTCATCCTGGCTGAACCCGAAAAGTGTCTTCATCCCATATGCGATCGCAGCAAATCCGGCAGCACTTGAAGCGAGGCCGGAAGCGACCGGAAAATTCGTAGTGGAGACTACCTGAAAATTAGCGTCTCTCCTGTGAAATATCACCAAAATTCGGAATGTGCGCTTTTTAAGTTTACTAAAAATATATCTTAAATTATCACTTTTTATCCTCGTCTACGTTTTTTCCAATTGCAAAACTCAATTTGGTTCCGTTTTAAAACATTTTAGGTTACCTCAAAATGAGGCCGCGACGATGCGGATGATTCGCGTGACTCAAGGAGCTTCCTGACGGCCTGAAAATAACTAGAAAGCAACGGGCTAAAGTCATACCTCAAAAACTCGATAAAATCGGGTGTTTTCACCACAATCATATTTCTTTCCATTAACCTGTAAATGGCATCGTTGAGTATTTAAAAACTTTTTCATACCTCAACGGAATCTGCCAAAAATTCTGACGAGGCCACGATGGTTGTGTCGGCATTTAGCGCATCAATGTTGAGTGCTACAGAGTCGTTTAGAGGGAGAATCAGGTCCTAAAATAAACAAAGTGATTAGATATTTTATACCTTGCTATTTCAATAGATATTAATCTACGATATCAAGATTATCGATTGAATCGAAATTTAATTAAATCTCACCGAGTCGCGTTTGCCCCAATACTTGACGAGCGCGATGTTCGCTGACGTCCGGACGGTACAGCTTAACGGCATACCGTCAGAGGTCTCCCGAGTACTGTAATAAACAATGTTTTTACAAAGCCGATTGGCTAGGACAAATAGAAAAATAAGCATACAAAGACGAAATGGCCCCGAGCCAGTTGTGACAATTTCCGTACCATGTCTTATCAACAGCCCCTATCGATTTGCGATGCCCTGCGGGGCCGAAAAGATATCGCGATGCATTAATGGCAATATAAAGAAGATTAGATAATCCTTATTTTGCGTTTTGGCTTTTAACTAGGTAATTTTCCTGCAAATTTCGATATAATAAAATTCTTATAACGAAAACGACAGAAATCAAACTCGACAAGCCAGAAAGACGAAGATAAAACGCTAAAAAAATTATGCTGTTTGAATAAAGTTATTTTTGATGGTTTTTCCCAGCTTTTCCATAGCAACGATAGCTTCAACTTTTTAGGAAGAGCTTATTAGCTCTTTTCTAGAGCAAATTGCAAGTCATTGAACGTTGTTGAATTCAAACTCCCGCCCGTAATCTAATGCACACCGTTGCACCAACTTTACTTAATTGAGTCAACTTCTCTAAAAAAATACAAATTAAAATTCAACGGGTCTAAATATCAAAAGGATTTGTATAATGTATGCATAAAAGTTAAAAAATCGTATGCAGATCTGGGAAATTTTGGTGCCCTCTGGCGGACACAAACTACACCCTGGCCAAATTCATTGCGTAAGTGGTTTTATGCAATTGAAAACTGGGCAGGAACAGCAAAAATGGAACGATTGATCTGAAAATCTGTTTTTAATAGATAATTCAAACGGAAATGTCGGGACTATCAGATTTCGGAAAGAAACAAATCGAGTCGATGAAATGGAGAGTCGGTCCCCAGCTCTCAGGATGAGTCACGCAATGTTTTGGCTTCGGACCCGCCGCCCATCTCGCTATGACCTTTTAGAAAAAATCTACTCTTCATTCGAAAAAAATCTGCAAATCACAACAAATTTGCGAGAGCGAAATTTTTATCTCCACATGACGATGCATTTTTCGAATCATGTGAGAAAAAATGAAATGCTGCTTTTGAAACTAAGGGTATGGGAAACACATTACCTAATTCTGTTACGAGTGACTTTAAGAAGAGCCTTAAACAAACTAATAATTCTCTCTCCCTCTCTCGCGTTCTCTCTCCTTCTCTCTCGTTCTCTCTCCCTCTCTCTTTCTCTTGCTCTCTCCTCTCTCTCCCTCTCTCTCTCTCTCTCTCTCTCTCTCTCTCTCTCTCTCTGGCTCTCTCCCGCCACTCTGTCTCTCTCCCTCTCTAGCTCTCTCTTTCTTCTGGCTTCCTGCTGTCACTCCAGGGAAACTCCTTCGTTTACAATTTATTTTGGGTAACTAAAGGCTAAATTTAATTTTATTTAGGCTGCTTCAAGCTTTTCAGCGTCGATACCGAAACCGGCAATCTGCATTTCATTAAACTTTCTGAAAACTACATGGTTGACCTCGAAAAGCACTTGCGCAAAAACCCCACTCGAAAAGGAAGAGCACACATCACCAGAAATTATACAAAAAAAACTTTGCCACGAAAACGTAATTAGGAATTTCCAAAGGGCGTTCTTCACCCCCACTGGTTATGAAAAACTGGAAGAAACCACACGGCCATCAACGTATATTTTTTAGAAAATGCTATTTTTCAGAAGTATTCCCTTTTATTTTTTTTCTGATATGGTTTTTGAGTTGGATTTTTCTTTTCTTTCTGATGAAAGGATAAGCACGCTTCTGTGTTTGCTCTTTTCCCAGAGTCAGTCGGTTAGTTTAGGATTTTTGTACATACTATATTTAATGACTAGCTCCAAAGTTCCACCCGAAATTACAACACAAAAACGGGACGCATCCAATTTAACCACCCTGCTGGGTGATGTGCCATTTTCGTTTGTTTCAATCAACGATAAAGGGGGTAATTACGGCCATTCCATGGCTATTAACTGGATGGGTAAACCTAAAGGGTGGGAATCTCGTGACCGTTTACATTTCATTTCAAGGAACGCTTCCAGTAGTGAATCTTCTTCCAGTTTTTCCAACAAAACATTTAATTTTCCCGCCATAAAAACAGAATAACCATACATATAGATAAAAACGTCCCCCTGATTTAAAAAGTACAGTACAGTCTTGCGGAAAAATAAGGTGTTGCCCATTTCCGTTTTATTCCAAAGAACGCTATTTATAGAACATCTGCTTCCGCATCAGGGTATCTTAGTGTTTTTCGCAGCTTCCTTTCTGCTATTTTTTATCGAATACCGTAACCGTTCGCCAGTTCTCAGAGACAGAAATAGTTTCCATTTCTGGCTCATTTTCGTCTATCCATTAGCGTCCGGAAAACGGAATTTGGACTTCCTCGCAACAGCGAGAAAACAAGCCGTTTTTCTGTTGCGGGCCGGGGTTGTTGGATATCGCATTTGCACGGCTTTGGATTAAAGTGGAAAATTTTAAGGTTTTAAGAAAGGGTTAGTTGTCGAGCGACCGATGAAAAATATTTGAAAACGAAACTGGCCTATGTTCTAGCCTATACATGGGCGGTCACCCCAGAGGGTCACCCTGGGGGTGACCGCCGCTCCCCCCCCAGGGGGTGACTGAATGGCACGATGGGGTGTCACCCCCTCCATTTTTCGTGGGGGTGAGGGTGCGGAACCGGATCACCCTATCCATGCAAATTACGCAGATGGAAATGACCAACGGTCAAGAATTTGCTGTGGGCAGCGATCAGAAGCCTAAATTTTTCCATTTAAGTTATATACTTTCCCACTGCCGCTTCAAGGGTATTTTATACTCGTTTAAAATGAAAAATGTATAATATGTGCGGCAAAACACCGCCATCTTGCCATAGAAATTTATTTGAATGGAGCACTTTACATCTCTAGGGTGACCAGGTTGTCACCCCCAGGGGGGGTGAGCGGCGGGCACCCCGAGGGTGACCCTCCGGGGTGACCGCCCATGTATATTCTAGCCACTAGGAACTTTTTGAGCGATGTAAAAAACGTCCCCATCCGAGTTTCCTTCGGGACCCTATAGGGGGTAGTTTTTTTAGCTTATCGAGCACAGTTTCTACGAAAACTGAAAGCCCAATATGCTAATCCGGTTTTTATGAATTTTTGCGAGCTCTCCCCCGGCTGCAGGTCTTTTGCAGAATTCAACTTTGGTCTCCGTCCAAAAAACCGCTGGACTATGGTGACAATTTCACATCCATAGCGAGTTTCCTCTTGACATTTTTCACTTGACCCGACACAATACGTGAAGAGAAGTGCAGAATATCCTCCCAACTTCTAGCAGCTGGAAAATCTTGCTTTTACTACACTTTTTCAAGGTTCACCGGAACCAAACCCCCAAATCACGATCCAATTTCGCACTCCAGACACTAATTTTCCGGCCATTTTTTGTGGGTTTTTGTTGGTTGCGATGAGCTCATTAATGACATGTCAGCTGTGCCGTCGGCGGTAGATTTAATAACGAGGTATCTTTTGAATTTAAATGAATTCCTTAATTTTCTGCAACATAAAGCACAAAATGTCCGATACGGAAGCCCCCTAGAGATTCATATTGCCTTACGTCTTTTCTGCGTTCCTTTTGTCTTCTTCTTGCGAACGTGTTTGCCGATGTTTGACGAGGATTCAATTTTGGGGGGTTTGAAAGGGGTGTCAAATGGGGTTTGAGGGCACTTTCCGGGCTTGAACCCGGAACGCTCACACATTAGAACTTCTGCATTTTAGAGCGAGAATTTCTTAAAAGACCAGTGAATGGCCAGGTCCACTAGGAGGCATGCATTCATGTGCAGTTTGACTGCGCGCACAACTCTTGACGCTAAGGCTACCGAAAGGGTTGATTCTCACTTTTCCACTTTCCTTTAAAGCCCTCGACAAAACATAAATTTTGAATGTTGTAATTATCTAATGTGCCATCAAAATAGAAATTTTTTTTCTCCGATCAGCATAAACTCACGAGATTTAAAGATATTTTTTTTGGGAGAACTCATGAGATTTTTTTATTGCTCTCTACCAGCGGGGAGGAGCAGCTTCGCGACTCTCCCCCGCTGGACCCCGTCTAGGCCCTATGAATCGAGCGCCCTTCCACATAAAGTTACCCTGAAGAAAGAAAAACGCATCTCCCATGCAAATCTCTTTGTATTGACATGCGGCGCAAGCTTGAACTGCTAGTCTCGTTGTTAGGCCTGTGGCGCATGTTTGATCGGCTAGGTCGCTGCTTCATCCTGCGGCCCAAGCTTGAGGGATTAGCTTCCTTTTTGTTCTGCGGCGCCAGCTTGAGCGGTTTGC